CTGTCAGACGGTCTTATCAAATGTTCATAAATTTTAGTTAGTTTAATTGACTTTTATTATTTTTAAGACATTATAAATCATTGGATATACATTTTGATTAAGTTTTTTGTGGGAAAATAAAATTGAAATATTCATAATTTAGATAAGAATTCACAAATATTAGTTCATAATATAAACCTTTGTAATATCAATTAAAAAAAAAAAACAGGCTAATGCATTTTGTCTTAAGATTCATGTATTGATTACATACAATCATAAGCTTTCACAACTATTCAAATAAATAGTCATAGGGAACTATATATACTACATAGGAGCTTTAATAAAATATTCTATTCAACTTTATAGTGTTGAAGAGAGTCAAACATATCACTATGTAACCTTTTTTCCCTTTTCCTTCTAATAATCCCAAGTCAATCATAGATTAATTAAGTTCATAGTATCATGACTATCATCATTGTAGCATAATTTAATTAGTGGGCTGCTTTAATAAAGTAAACAGCAATTAGAGCTAATCTATTTCTCAATTTGCTTCCTTCCTATTTCATTACTTCTTGAATCAATGAATATATAACATCCCTCCTAGTTAGAGATTGAGTCTCACTATTAGAAATGAGTGTGAACTAACTATAATATCGCCTAACCACTAAGATTGATAACAACAATAAAAACAATACGTATTACAAAACACAAACTAGGAAAATAATTTTCTACGTATTTGTTTTCTTATGAGAGGTAGATTATGTAGAGATTTTTAATGAAGTTTGTTTTTAAGTGGGTGAGGCATGACATAAGGAAAGGGAGAATAAAGCTTTAAAAAGAAAGGAAGAATCCTCTCACATTTACGGAGTATCAATCAACACAAAAGGTACTTACGTTTTATTTGTATAAAAAATCATATTCGACTTTAATTAAGATCATTATATAATTAAAAAAAATTGCAAATATATAACCAAATGAGCACATATTGACTTGAAAATGAATCTTATTTATCATTATCAGTCTTTTTATTCTATTTTTATTATTACATCACTTGAAAATGAATCTTATTTATCATTATCAGTCTTTTATTCTATTTTTATTATTACATCACACAATATACAAGTATATTACATGACATAGAATTCATAGCTTCAGACAAATACTACTTAGTACTCCGTATTACTTAACAACGGAAGATGTAACGTATTACGTCTAGTATTTTTCTAGTCAAAACAAGACTACACCCTTCTCTTTAGATAGCAAACAAGATGTACATGATGCATCTTTATTAATATGGGACATATGCACATATCACTATCATTCTCACTTCACCGCAAAATGCCTAAAAGAATATTGACCTCTTATATATATTTGAATTTTTGATTAATAAACTTGATTTAAATTGTATGTGGAGTCTAGTGACCGCCCATTCATGCACCTAAGGAGCCAATATTTGTGTGGAATCTTCTTAAGATACGCAACAAATAGTTGTACAACTTAAAATTCTTCTCAATTGAAATTTAGTGTTTTCTTTTGATTATTTTTGGTAACTTTCATAAAAAAGGGAACTAATTTTGATGTGTTTGCTTTTTTCTATTCATTGGCACTTTTGATGATTTTGCTCCACTCTTTTGGAGTTTGTGGTCGCCGCATTTGATATTTTTGTGTGATATAGATAAGTTGTTGTACATTGATTTTTATATGAGAGATTCTTTATGTTGGGATTAGTTAACTCAATGATTGTGAAATAATTTGGGAATATAGGAGAGCAATCTTATTTAAAATTGTCTTAACTTGATCATTTTAAATTTTAATTTGAAGCATTTGAATTTACACCTCGAAAAATATAAGAAGCCACTTAAAATCTCGTATTTTTGGTATTCAATCGGATTAAAGTTATGTCAAACCTAGCAAAGCTATGGAATATTACGGGGGACTCAAAGAGCATTTACTTGACTTTTTTTTTTTTTCCCTCTCCCTTGATACGCTTTCTCATTCTTGGCTCATCATCACCAAATCCATCTCACCCATGTTTGATTGAGTAATTTATTGTTACTTTATATTTATTGGGTATGGACTTCCCCATCTTCAATAAGTTGAATGCCATGCTTCAAAAAATTATGATGAACTAGTGTAGGTTGTTGAGAGGATATTGACTAGTGTTTTGCTATATGTAGTGATAGTTTATCTTGTTAAGACTTTAGTTAGTTACGATTGATTTTTCATGATTCAAACATGTTGTAAGGATGACATAACAACAATCGGAGATCAGAATAGATAGCAAGCTAAGTGTCAGAGCAGTTGAAGACCCAGCACAGGCACCAAAAGAGTTAAGGAATTTGATCAAGGAAATCCTACTTCTCAGTTCTCATTATACCTATTTCTGTTGTTGTTATGTCCCTAGGAGTGTTACGTCTAGAGCTCATGACCTGGATATAAAGCCAGGAAAGGGACGTAGGAGTCTTATGTTCTCTTAACTTGTTTCACAGCTGTCAAAAAAAAAAAAAGGATGACATAATAGTTCTCGATTTTATTGATTAAAAAAAGTTTATTTATTGTTGAAAAATTATGTATTATATTTTTAGGAGTTGAAGAAAACAATAAAATATTACATGTTCTTCGTTATGTGTAACACCTCCAGAAATCAAGAATGCATATTTTAATCGCTCATTCAACTACTTCAACTCCATTCCTCTAAATGAGATATATTTGGTTACTATATGTCCCAACAGTAAGTATATTGAAAACAAGTACATACTACTTACTATCTTTGTTTTCAATATATAGTTCTTTAAATTAATTTTATTATTTGTGCGCAAAAAAATTGATGTGGTAAGTGTGTAAGAAAAAATTAGATGAAGTAAGAGAGGTATGTAATACGGAGTGTAAAAAGGTGAGAAGACATAAGAAATTGAAGAGCGAGAGTGGAAAGATGAAAATCTTATGGGGTTAGAAGCTTAAGATAGTAAAAGAAGTAATGCAAACCACGTCAAAAGCAAATTTCTATTTTTTTAATAAAAACAAAGAACAAAGAAACCCGTTAATTGACATGACAGGTCTATTTGATACCACCAAACAGACCCCTTATCTCAATCAACTGGTCTTTTTTCCTTCTGAATTATCAATTTTCAAACTTATGTAACAGACCCGCTGTCACTAAAGACGGGTCTATTTGTCCTCACAAACAGACCCCTCTAAGGAACGGGTCTCTTTATCAAACAGATCCCTGAGATAGAGACCCATTGTAAGGCGGTCTCTCAAGCATATTTTAACGGGTCTCTTTGCCATTTTATGTAGTAGTGAGTTGGTCAAAAATTAAATAGTCATAATGATGAGATTTAAAAAAAAAAAAAGTGAATATGAAATTGTTTTGTATCCCTTTGGGTAAAATTATAAGGTGTTTAGCCTGTACAAAATTTGATTTTATGACCAACAGTTTATATACTCATGTATTAAAGAGTTAACCACTAAACCTTAGTACTTGTACCTTACAATATACAAGAAAATACAAGTATCTCTACATGAGATACATGATATGTATCTCAAAGAGGCAAATTCATCATTTTCAGTGCGTAACTTGAGTTAATTTTGTAATTTTGTCAAAAAAATCTGTATTTTCAAGCTATAGTAGAAGGCTTCAATGGAGCATTGAAGAACTTCAACAAAAAAATGGAAGACTTCAATGGAGAAATGGAAGAGCTTCAAGGGGCTTCAATGGAGGACGACCTAAACATTCCCCGTAAGGATTAACCTTGCTCTTCTTTTCTTCCTTTATAGTTGGGGCTTTAGTTTAATTAGCGGTAAAGCCGCCAACAATATGGTGGTGAGTACTGGTTACTATGAAGCATGATGAAGATGATGATGAAAAAGATGGGGTAGGAAGAAGAAAACATAAAAGAAATTGTACAAAAAAAAATTCATATAATTCTTCTTATATACAAATATGTCATTTTGAGATACATCAATATATCTCATGTTGAGATACTTGGGCTAGCTCTTACAATACTTGAGTTTTTCTTTTATTGTTAATACTCCGTACTACGTAACTAATTAGATAATTTTTGAGCCATAAGTTGAAATACAAAAGTCTCTAGAAAATTATAATACAATAGTCAATTATAATAATAGTTTTAAAATAAATATATTAATAAATAAATACAATTAAATTTCTAGGCAAATTAATGATTCTAAAGAAAAACAACACATAGAGTTTAAGAAGGAAAATTCCCTCAAAGGCAAAAAACTCTAATGTGTACAGTACAGATGAGTGAAAATAAATTAACCTATGGCAATGCTCGAACCTAGAAACTAGATTTGATCATATTATTTTAGTGGACCTTTGAGCTGAAGAAAGGCTTCTTATCACAGTAGACTTTCTTGGACTATACGTCTATATCCATTCATGCTCTATATTTTATCCATGCTAATAGTATGGCCCAATGCATGCTGACTTATAAGCTTGATTTTGACCCAAAAAATAAAAAAGAAAAAAAAAAAACCTCTATCCTGAGATGAATGATACGAAATTATGAAGTATTAGGAATTTAATCAATTTATCAATTTATTTAATTTTTGTTTACTACTCGTACTAATTACTATTGACCCAAATGAAATTTCTATATATAAAAAAATAACAGATCATAGTTTGACTATGGTGAACATAGATTCATAGGACGAGTCAAATCATATTTATATAAAAAAAAGAAGGTAAAATACAGTGTCTAATTGAATTTTGAGCTGAATGACTATCTTTTCGAGCATAAATTAATTTGCGCACCCATACCCGTGTAGATTGATGGTGGGATTGTGGGAAGTTTGAGCCACAATCCAACCCAAAAGATGAAACAATCAATATAAGACAAGTTAAATTATGATTGTACTCGATAATCTAATCTAAATTTAACTAAAAGTTATTTAGAGGAACCAAAACCAACTTAAACAAATCCAATCAACCAAAATACAACTCGAATTGACCCATTTAATCATTTATGATATGCAGATACTAACATTTTTTTTTTTTTTTTTTTTTGAGGACATATGCTGTTTGGATAACTCATACTTGACCTTAAAATCAAACCCGTCCAACCCATTAGTCTTGCCCCTAATAAAAGATCCAAGTCGAAGTATGGATCAGGGTTGGGTTGACCCGACCCAATGGCGATCTCTAAAGAGTAAAGATTTTTAGGAGATGATCATCATCCAATAAACTTTTCATATCGTCGGTCAAAATAATGCTTTAAAAAAAAGATTCCAAAAAAAAAAAAAAAAAAAAAAAAATCCTTTTATGACCCTTTCCAAATTCTTCTCTCTCCTCAGCTGAAGGTACATTTTCATGACATGTCTCAAATTCCTCCATTTCTGCAACTCTCATAACTCAAATCACCATTTCCATGGCTTACCTAAGACCCATCTGCTGCTCCTCCATTTTCACTTCTCATGCTTTTCTCTCTCTTCACTCACTCACCTACTTCCAATTTTTTATTACAACCATTAAAAGATTACATTTTTAATCCCCTTTTCTTTGAGCTACAATTCTAATTTGCCCTTATTATGAATATTGTCTCAATTTGAGCTTCTAAAGCCCCTAATTTTCATGTTTAATTCCAGAAAAGAGTGTGCCCATCTCATTTTCTTGATGATTTGTAGCTGAAAATGATGTCAAAATCAAGTCTTTAGCATTTAAGAAGGGATTTTTACTGGGTGCCCACCTTCTATTCTTGTGATCTGGCTGTAATTCTCTTGATCTCTTTGTTGTTGTTGAATCTATATGCATTTGGGAGCAAAACCCATGATTTTAATTTTTTGTGTTAATTCACTTTTAGCTGGGATTTTATTGTGGTTTTTAGGGTTTAACATTGGTAGGTTTCTGGTTTATCTGGGAAAATACCCCCATTTGCTGTAGTTTTAGTTACATGTTGTTGTATTATTTAGCTGATTGGAAAGATAAATTATTTGGGTTGGATAGTGTAGATTTTTGCCCCTGAGAGGTGTAATTAGGGTTTGTTTGGGGAATTTGATTGATGTTGTGAGGTTTTTTTGGGCAAATGGCGGAAAACGGTGTAATTTTTGTGGAGTGGAGGGAAGAATTTGTGTCTCAGGAGAGAGGAAGCAGGATTGTTCATTATTTATTGAAAGATTATTGTGGGAAATCTATACTTGCTGTGGTTGGCACTGAGAGGAGTCTTAGGCACATGGTTTATGTTGTTGCTGAGGATTTTTTGAGTTATTCTGGCACTGATAATCCTGTGCAAGCTGGGTTTAAATGGAGATCAAGAAGGGAGGTGGTTGACTGGCTTACATCCCTGCTGGCCAAGCAGCAACAAGCAGGTGATCCATTCGCGTTTTTACCTTGATTTTATGTTTGTGATGTATGCATTATGTTGTTGATGGTTGGCTTGTGAATATTTGATAGTTAGATGGTGCTGATTGTGGTTGTCCTGAACTTGATTGCTTCGATCTTCTTGGGGGGGGGGGGGGGGGGGAGAGAGAGAGAGAGAGAGAATGGATAAGTGAAAGTTAAGTAGTATTAAGATGAAAGATATGAGGTTTACCTTGTTTCAATGGTGTTGTTCTAAAGATTTGGATATGCCGAATCTTGATGTATCATGATTGCCTTGATCTTCATTGCTTATGGTATGGTCTATGGTGGCATTTGAATAAAGTTGTAACTTGGTGCTTTTCCTACTTTTTAGTTCGGGTATTTGATGTTACCTATCCAACCTTAGTCATCCTGATCACACTCCCTTTTAGAAAAAAGATCAATGCAACAATAGAAGAATATTTATCCGAAGTTTGCACCTTATAAATTAATGGATTTTAATCTTATTCAATGAGCAGAGAAAATAATGTTGTGTTTCTATTTTTCTTGATAAGTATGATTAAGTCTACCCCCTTTTCCCTTTGTCTCTTGCACATATTAATTAAAATTAAGTGTATTAATACATTATAAAATTTGGTTAGATCTGAACCTGGGCAACTTATGGGCTGATTTTCAATGCTCTATGATGCAAGATAGGAATCTCCTGGTAAAAATGATTTTCCCATGGTTTAGGCTGTAGATGGAGCATATGGAATTTAATCCATTACATTACATAGCAGCATTGCACATACCCTAGAGACCTGAAGTGTTCCCTGCTATAGCAGTCGAGACCCTCATAGAACATTAGCTTTTCTGCAATATGCTCACTTTTACCTTTCAGTAACTGTCAATGATGAATTATGAACAGATAATTATCTTTTACTTCTGATCATGACAGATTCTCCAAGTGGCGATTCAACCCATTCTTTAGGATCTTCTGAGCTATTAAGTGCTCAATATTTCACTACAGACAAAGTGGTAAATCCATGAGCCTTTATAATGGCTTCTTTTTAACACCAATTTACTGATTCAAATATCCTGAATTATTTCAGGATCGTCGGGTTAAAAACTTGAAGCAATCCTACTCAGATGTTATGTGGATAGGTGCTGCATGGACTTGTGGAAAGCAGCTAAAACACTACCCAGCATTTTGCAGGAATGGCACTACAATAGCGGTAAGTATTTGTTGTTTTCTGTAAAGTCCAATATGTTATATCACGAGAATTAGATTCTTAAATGTTCATTGGATCCCCCACCCCCACCCAAGTTTGCTATTCCTATGGGATATGGAACATTGGGGACTTAACCCAATCACAATCAATGTTGAAACCAAGTAATCAAGAATAAATTCAAGATCAAGAGTGAATACACCTATCTTATGGGAACCTTTGTAAGATGGATAAAACTTCATCTAAAACCTTTTGTTTGGATTGAAGGAAATGGAGGGATGAAGTATCTTTCATTTGTATAACAAATGAGGAAGGAAGGGAATTGAAGGGGAGAAAAATGAAGGGATTAAATTGTAAGACATTGATCTCTCCAACAATGGAGAAATTTGGAAGGAAAAATCATTATTTTCGCCTCCCCTTCTCATTCCCCCCTCCCCCCTTTCTTTTTCATTCCCTCCCCCCACCCCCTCCCCTTTTTTTGTTTTTATCCAAACACACTCTAAAAGGTGGTTGCTATTCACTGTATCAATGAGTGCAAAGATAATTGATTCCCCGGCTCTTACAATCTCAATGGTGCTCATTGGATGTGTTTACTGTTTAGTACCCTGTTAGAAACCCTAATCTCGTGAAAAAGATAGAATACAGCTCTCTTTCTCTTCACACCATAGAAAATGTCCAATTGGGAGTGGGTATTAACATTGGAAAAAAACTATTGGAAAAAAACTGTAAGGATAAGGTAGCAGATTATTTACATTATTACATGTCATATGTCGTGTACGGACCAACTTTAGCAGCAGTATCTATAGCATGCCATGGTTTTGCCGATATGCATGGTGATCCATCCTGATTTCTGGAAATGGTAGAGGTCGAACCCCTGCATTCATCAATCCAACTTATGCTACCTGCCCAGTGGCCAGCCAAATATGCACTTGACGCCTTTGACCCTTGCTGAAATTTCCTTCTTTACTCCTACTTTATCTGTGCTTTCAAATCTATTTAAGAATTATGATGACCACCAAGAGACTATCTAGAAAACTAGTATGCATGTCATATACGATTATGCCTCAAAAGGTATCAAACTACAGACCATTTAAGGAACTACATAACACTCATAATTCATAACAGTCTTATACTAGGTTCACGAGAGAAAAGTTAGCCTTGTCAAGTATTAAGAAAAAGATCCCGACTTTTATTTCCTTATCTTTTTGAAAAATTTAGTTCTATATATTGACTAGTTACATGCAACCATGCAAGGGTCATGGGTTCACATCTTCATGGCTTTTGTACTTGAAAGTAACCTTTTCAGTCATTTGGGTTATTTTGATTGTAATCTAATATTTTAATGGGTTCTACTTTGCTGTTATTCAGGTTCAAGCATTTGTATTTGTGATGGCTAAAGAGGGAAGTCGCTATGTTGCCTATCTAGAGGACATGTATGAAGATAAGAAGGGGATGAAGAAAGTTAAAGTCAGATGGTTTCATCACAGTCAAGAAGTGAAGGGTATAGTTCGTATACGGAATGCTCACCCGAAGGAAGTTTATATTACACCTTACACGCAGGTGATAAGTGTTGAGTGTGTTGATGGTCCTGCTATAGTCTTAACCCGTGAGCATTTTGAAAAATGCTTAGAGGGCCTTCCAGAGGGTTTGCTGGGAAAGCTACATCTTTGCTGTCGTCAGTTTAGAAGTAACAAAATTAAACCATTTGATCTTAGGAAATTGCGGGGTTATAATAATCAGCCTGTTATTTCTTGTTTAGAGTCTGATTCCTTTCTGAATTCTGACTCTGTATGCCGTGGGGTGATTGGGAATAAAGTTAAGATGTTTGAATCAAATGATAATGGGGCAAAAGGGACTAAGAGAACAAGGAATTATGGGGACAGAGAAAGCTTTTTGACAACTCATGGTGCGGAAGGCTTTGAAAGGAAGAAATTTATGCGTGGACCATTTTCTAAGAATGGTAACATTGATGGCGATAAGAGGTTGTTTTCTTCGAAGAATGGGGAATTCCAGCGGTCACACATCCAGTTTTTTAAGGTAGATGACAAAATAGAGCTACTGTGCCAGGACAGTGGCATTCGAGGCTGTTGGTTTAGATGTACTGTCTTGGAGATATCTCGAAAGCAGATGAAGCTCCAATATAGGGATCTGGAGGACCAAGATGGATGTGGAAACCTTGAGGTACTCAATTAATGTCTTTTGCATTTAATTCATATTGAGTTGCTTAGTGACTGCCTGGAATGACATTTAATGATTTTCTCCTTGAAGAGCATTGTTTCTGGCAGGTTATAAGATTCAAGTGGCCATTTAGTTCTGTTGGAAATACTAATCCCTGTTTGGCTAAAGTTTGAGTTAGATTAAAATTTAGTTGTCTTATGCTCTATTACAATGTAATGGTCTTAGTGCTATGCAAATCATGGCTATCACTAAATCAATGCTTGAAATGTTTGCTAGCTGTGTGTTAGTGTTACATTCCTTTCAGTTGATTTGTTCTTCCTGTTACATCACTTGCAATGTATTTTTGTATTGATTGTGAGATTCTCTTGGTTGAAGATCTCTTTCCTTTTTAGGTAACTAGTGAATAATTTCTTCTCAGCATAGTATATTAGTATCTTGATGTGGTCTAGAGATGAAAATTAACTTTTTCAACTGCTTCAATGGGCTACTGGATTAAAAAATATATTTTGAGTGAGCTTTAGCAACAAGACTGTGACTTCACAAAGTACTATTAACTTACATCTTTTTATAATTAAAGTCAATTAATTCACCTAAAACTATGTGCCGGTCGAAGTGTAACACTTAAAAAATCGGAGGGAGTATAGTCTTTATGTACTGTGCTATTGTTCGTTGGTTCTTTACTTTTTCTGAGGATACAACTAATACATGTCGACACTGTTGATTTATGCTGTTTGATAAATTCCAGGAATGGGTTCCAGCTTTTAGGATGGCTGCACCAGATAAGCTTGGCATGCGATGTCCTGGACGACCTACAATCAGGCCTTGTCCTCCCATCAGCGATGCTGTAGATGTTGAATTTGGAATCGGAGCTCCTGTGGATGCATGGTGGAGTGATGGCTGGTGGGAAGGTGTTGTAACTGTAGTTAACAGTGTCAGAGATGATAAAATACAGGTTTATGTTCCAGGTACTAGCCATCCCTTTATCTCCCCTTTTTGTCATCAGGCATTAAGTTAATCAGTTTATGTGCCTACCCTATGTTTTCTAATGCTACCTTATTTTTTCATCAGGTGAGAACAAGTATTTAGATGTACCTAGAAAGGATCTAAGAGTTTCCCGAGATTGGTTGGGTGGAGAATGGTTTGATGTTAAGGCGAATCCTAATATACTTTCAGATATCAATGCTGAAACAGTACAACCTATAGTCTCAATCCTCGGGAAGGAAAATGCTGCTGATGATTCTGCCCTCAAAATTAAAGATGATGAAAATGAGGATAACTTAGTTGACTTGCCTGCTCCAGCCTCTTCTGTTGGCCATGCCGAACAAATTTCCTCTTCAGACAAAGATGATCATAATGCTGGTCATCATGTCAATGACAAAAGTGATGATGTCAGCTTGCAAGACCATGTCAAAAGTGATGATATCAGCTTGCAAGACCAAGTCAATGACAAAAGTGATGATGTCAGCTTGCAAAACCATGTCAATGACAAGAGTGATGATGTCAGCTTGCAAAATTTGTGCTGTGATGTTGATGATCAGAAAATCGTTGACGATGAAAATGATGGTAGTAAGGAGGGTGAATCAGGTACCGCTGATGTGGAAACTGCTGCACAGGCTGATTTGGAAACTGCCGAACAGGCTGATGTGGAAAGTGCTGCTCAGGCTGATGTGGAAACTGCTGCTCAGGCTGTTGTGGAAACTGCTGCACAGGCTGATGTAGAAACTGCTGCTCAGGCTGATGAAGTTTTGGAACCCACAGGTGTCGCATAGAGGCTAGAGCTGTTCCTCAAACAATTATTGTACAAACTAGTGTAGATTTCCTGTAGAGAGCAAGAGGTGATGTTGATGGCATTTGATCTTGCATTTGAGACAATACTCCCAGGTGTACAGCAATTAGGTGAGTCTTCCAAATTGGTTTTCTTAGTTAAATTCCTAGGAACTGCCTTGGATCAAATTCCAGCTGTTATAGAGTACCTTTTGAGTGAATTAGATTTTATGTTTCCTGTTGTAACGTTAAGGTGAACTTCTAGTTTGTATGATTTAAAGTTGTAGTGAAATAAACTTTCAGGCACCACTTTATGTTTGCCATTGTTGGTTACTCCAAACAACAGTTCAAAAGTCATTACTAACAAAAGTATTCGTGAAACTTTTTTAAATAAACTATGATCAAGTGTACTGCAAATTCCATTTGTTCGTAGAGAATAGACTAATTGTATTTAGAAGGCATGAACTTTTCTGGAGTTGATAATCTTTAAAAAGAATCTTAGTCAAGGACAATATGCTGGAAACATTTTGGTGTTTTTTACTGAAAGAATTTTGTGTATGCTTTGTATTGTACATGTTTACATAGAGAGCTAACCATTTGAAGTGACTAGTCCTACATATTTTATCTGATTGTTACTGTTAGCTATAGTCTCAACCATTTATTGCCGTCAATGAATTCCATGTCGAGAAATGGCCTGGCGTCCTCAATAGTGAAAGACTTTGCCCATGTCACCCGCCTTGTTGTGTTTGCTCCCTTCCCACTGCACTGGAATTCACCAAACAATGCCGTCCTGAAAACATAATGCCAAAAACAGATATTGTTAGTATCAGAATTGTTAAAATTTTAGTATCGTTGTTCATGTATCAAGCAAGTTTTAGCCGTAGTTCAGTATACATACTTCTGCCTTTCTGGGTCACCCCAGTCACTCCACCCTTCTGGTGCAATAATATCATCAATGTCACAGTATGAATATACTGCTCTTGAGTATGGCCCCCAGGCTCTTCCCAGGTAAATCAATCCGCTTCCATTGATTGTACAGTTTAAGAATGAAAATCCGGTATTTTCTTCAGGTGTATTTCGATGATGTGCTGCAATTGCTCCTGATCTATTGGCTATTGAATGAAGAACTGAATTCTGTTGTATGTTTTTCTTTAATATCAGAGAAGGCCAAAAAGTCTTAAAACACGATAGAGGGCATGTTTTGTTTTCGGGTTACCTGATATAATGATCTTGCATTGCCAAAAATGAAATCGACTGATCCTTGGATGAGGCAGTGGTAAAAGTAGTGTGACCCTGTGTCATCTAAGAGAGTATCTTGAGCACCAAGGATATTAACTTTGTAGAACATTGCCCTTTCAGCCGATACTCTCAGTGCCACTGCTTGCATCCCCAACCCACCTGGTATTGCCACTACTGTATTCTGCATCCATCACGTAAACGAAAAAAAAAAGGTTACTTGTGTTCAATTGTCGACGAGCAACCCTTTCAAAAGACACGTCGAGAAGGTTACAGTCTCTAATACTTGAAAAAGAATGAGAAGTTACCTCAAAAGTAATCTCAGATGCACAAAAATAATCAGAGAATATGCTGATGGTAGCTGAACCAAAAGTTCCAAGTTCAGCACCATTACTATTTCTATCAGAAGCTTTGTTATTCCAAGTAATTACTGTATTAGAAGTCTGATTTTCTGTCCCAATGAAGGAAATGTAAGGCTTGGAGCTTGGTACAACTACCCTCTCCCTGCTCAACAACAAAAATCATACTAAAAAATCATACAAAAATCTACTACCAAAATATAATGATTTTCCTACCAAATACTTGTACATGTCTCAATCTTGTCAATTTTTTCCAAAATAAATAAAAATGACTTCAACATACATTGTATAAACTTTAAGTATAGATGTTTCCTTGTGTTCATTCCTATTGATCGTGATTTCATTTAAAGTAGTGAATATTATGGTTACATATTGTTTAAATAAAATTTCCAAGTTAAGTAGGTACGAAATTCTTTCATTTCCCACCCGAAAAAATAAAAATAAAGGGAGATGCAAAATCTAACTTCGTGGCTCATCTAGTAGTAAGATGAAACATTCATAGTCGCTCCAAACTCGAGTTAGTCATATATGTGCGAACTCATTCCCTCAAAACAATCTTGCTTTGGCGAACCATGATTTGCAATAAAAGTATCCGACCTTAATTTCCGCTCCAAAAAATAAAATGGTAACTAAAAAAAAAAGGCCAGCGTAACTGTCGAGCAGTAAACACCCACGTAGCTCCAAAAATACGACTCAAACACCAGAACTGCCAACTCAGTAACCGCAAACAATCTAGAAACAAAAAAATGCACAAAATGATGAACTTACAAAATACTGTAAAAATCATCAAATTTTAATTTACAAAATACCTGTAAATTCCAGGAAGAATTAGAATCCTAATTCTCTGCGAATTCCCAGAAGGAATCAAATCAACAGCACCTTGAACAGTAATTGAATCCCCTGTTTTTCCACTTTGATCAACCACAATTACCCCACTATTATTCCAATTTAGCTTATCTTTAATCTCACTTTTTGACACTAAATTTTTATAATCATCAACCTTAATATCATCCCATGTTATATAATTATAATCTCTTGCAAAATTTCTGGTATAATTTTGACAAAATCCCAACTCAACTAAAACACCCAGAAAACAGAGTATCTGTAATTTTCTCACTATCATTGCTCAAATTATGTGATTTTGGGTAGCTAAATTTTTGTGGGTAATTGCTAAAATTGAAGTATTTGATGAAATTTGAAGTGGGTATTGATGGTTTTGATGGGAATGTGAAAAAGGAGAGAGAATTTAATACTTGGAGCGTCTACTGTGTGTGACACTTCGGTGGTAAACTAATTTAATTTTTGAGTGTAAATGCTGGTTAATTTATGCTAATTTTTTGTGATGATATTAGATAAATTTGATGAAAAAATGGGTGTCATAAAAAGAGTGTTAGAATTATTATAATCCCAAATTTATATTTTGGGTAAGATGAAATTGTAGTGATAATGGAGAAGTTGAGAATTTGCATTTTTTTGAGATTATTCTAAAAGTTGAGTGAAAAAAAATGAGTAGTTAAGAAAGTGAGGTTAAACTTGAGAGCAAAGAAAACGGTTAAATGTTCTTGATTTTAATTTTTTAAAGAAAATGATTTATAACAATTTAAATTTTATTTATGGTTATTTTCTTTTCCTCAAAATTGTTTAATGCGAGTGAATTTTACTGGGGTAGTAGTTATTGAAGAGGAAGCTAGAAGGAAGGAGGAGTTAAAATAACTGCCTTAAATAGTTAATATAAATGTTTTTGCTGATTTTTTTTTTAATGTTTCATTCATATAGTAAGAGGCTAAGAGCCTATAAAATAATGAAGTGAGGCAAAGAGTCATGGGAAATATGAAAATTTTCTATTTGAGCAAGCACTATGCCGTTATACTTGCCATTAGTGTTTGTATAAAATCACACCTTCAATGCATTTGCAACCTAGACATCTACATATAATAGCAATTTCGGGAAAAAAAATAAAGAATGTGCTTATATCAGATTGGTTTATATGTGTCTATATAGTGTAGATGTTTGAAAGAGGCCGAAAAATAAATTTTTATAAGAATCAAACTCTCAACGACTCAATTGATTGAAAAAGAGAATGTTGATAGACATGAGAATTACGTAGGAATGAAACTCTCAACAACTCAACTTTTCAAGTAAGAGAATGATGGGCGTTGTAACGTTCTTTATTTATTGTTGGTATGATTATGTGAATATACATTAGTAAGCAACTAAGCATATCACGCATATGCATGTGATGCCCAAGAAATACTATTTGATCAAGAAAATTGGTTGTTATTTTGTCCCATCATTGTCTTGTTCAAAGGAGATGTCAATACGACAATGTTGTTAATTGATCATCATAAGACGATGATTTGACTTACTATATATCTCACAATTAGAATTAATCCATTTTTCAAAGTTTTGTGTACAAGTCAATATTTAAGTTTTTTGATAACGTTATGTTACATGGTTACATCTAAGGTAAATAGTAGTGCACTAGATACTACTTTTTGTCGCTTGTTATTTCATATGAAGTACTATGTATAATTTAATGGCCATGCTTAATGGCTTGCATTGCGCCCTTGGTAAAATTTTCACCTCTATTTCTTCTTTACTCTCTTGAAAATTTTGATGAAACATTCAAGAGTAGAAAAGCAAGAGAACCACTTAGAAATTTGGTTGCATAATAATTGATTTGAATTGAATTGAAGGTCGCATAAAGTTTTTTTTTGTAATTTTTTTTTTATAGGAATAACTATAGAAATTATAGTAAGATACTAGGATGTGTTTTTTTATAATTATTATAATTTTTATTTATTTTGGTTGCAGAGAGTAAATAATCAAGTTGACGATATTTGATAAACCACTTTCCAAAACAATTGGCGGTCATAAACAATGAAAAAACAAATTTCTCCTTAAGCGCATGTTTTTGAAGATATCCTCTTTTGTATCCTATAATTCATGACCTAAAGATAAATTACACTATCATTAAGAGGATAGATTATAAGCACTTGATTTATGTTAAGAAGTTGATTTAAACAAATTTAACTAGTAACTGACTAGTTAAATTAGTCTATTTAATTCTTGACTCCCCACATTACATCTCTGAAACGTGATAATATATATATCTCTATTCATTACATATGATTCTCAATTGAGGAAATCTGTAATCCAAAGCATAAGATCGAATCGCGTTTATATTTCTAAAATACTCAAGCAATATGCAATTATGATGCAAATTATACTCATTCTTAGGCATTGCTTCTCTTAATTTACCGACTAGACTTCTTTAAACATCCATACACATCTATGCTAAGAAGTCCTTCACATAATCGAACACCAAAGTTATGTGGCCCATTCTGGTAAGTCACAATAACGTTTAATATGATCATTTGTCATTTACTAGAATGTTTCAACCGTTCAATAAAAAAAAATGTAATTATGATGACTAGAATATATATTGGTGTGAATGTGTGTATTGAATTATAGCTCGCAAAATGACCAAATAAGCGAAAGTCTAATAAAATTATTTATTTATTTTAAAAAACTCTTTTAAAATTTCAATTGGAAAGAAAATTAAAGAGAAAAAAGAAAAGAAAGTTTTCGGATAACATAACCCTGTAAAACCAAACCAGTAGGCTAAGGGAGGAGAGAAGAGAAGAGATAGAGGTGTGTTTGGGTGACAACAATGGCGACTTCTTCAATTTCAGCTGCTTTATTTTCTCCTCTTTCAATTCGCAATTCATCTTCTTCTTCAACCAAACATGACTTTACCACTCCTTCTCTCTTAAACCTCAGAAGAACCCTAACTCTTACTCAACAATCATCCACCTTCTCCAACTCCTCTAATTTCACTACTTTTGCTGCTCCTGAAACTTTGGAAGCTTTTGAAACTTCCCCAGATTCATTTGAGGTCTGATTTTCTGGTTAATTTTAGGAATTTATTTTATTATTTGTGTTTGTTTCTTGGTTTTGAACTTGTAATGAGTAGTTTATGCTGAATTTTGAGATGGGTATTTCTTAATTGTGTAATTTGCATATTTTGGTGAAATGGGTATTTGATAATTTTGTTTTTTGGATAATTGAGTCAATGCTTTGTTTAGATATTCTTAAATTTGGTATGTAATGAGTAATTTGTGCTGAATGTTGAGATGAATGAATCAAAGTTTGTAATTTGCATGTTCTGGTAATATCTGTATGTATTAATTTTGATTTTGGATGATGAAATCATTAATTTTCTCTGATGTTCTGAATTGTGTTATATAGTGCTTCTTGGTTTTACTTGTGAGCTTGTATTTGTGAAAATTTTGCTAAGTTTTAAGATGGATGAGGTTAAATTTACGTAGTATATGTTATGATACACACTTATAATATGGATAAGTGGAAAAAAACAATCCCTGTAATTTTCTGGTTTTATTTGTTAGCTTAAGAAAAATATGTCTTGGAATAATGTGCTTGTTGTGAAATGTGATTATGATAAGATTATGATGAGTGCATCTTAAGTGGGGTAAGTACTCTGCAGCAGCCTCCTGTTGATGTGTGTCTATGTGTGCGCAGGCATGTGTGTCTTAGTATCTTGGTGTCGGGGTGCAATGAGAATTGAGAGTAACAAGATTTGTGTATTTTTGCTAGTGTGCTTGTGTAAGGTGATAGATTGTGTTGTATTTGTCAAAGGGGGAAGGTAATAATTTGGTGCTTCTTTTCTTATGGTTGTTTTTTGCTGTTGTGTAGGATGGTTCTGAGACTTCCACTCTCAGCATTGGTACTGACTCTGATCAGGTATTGAGCTTTTCTTCCCTTGGTTGCTATTCCTCATGCTATAGAGTCAAATTAGTTCAAAATTTTCATGTTGAATTAACTTAAAGATATCTAGACTGCATGAGGAAGCACTGTATAAAGCTTAAACCCACGCGAAAATTTGCTATCAGTGTTCCATAGTTAAGCTCTTTTTTTCTTATGTCTTGTCATTTTCACTTTCACTGTATGGGTGCTTAGGAACAAGTCTCTGGAATCAACCATGTTTCCAGGTTGTATAAGTATCTTGAGTGCATATAGACTACAAGCTCAAGACCTTTATGTTTTCTAGCATTAAAGTCTTATATAGATGTGATTATCTGATGCATTACTTTGAAATTGAGTTTTTGCCTGTCTTTCCTTGTTGAACCCTCACGTCATTGAAAACTGTGAACCCCTTCATTGGTACGTCTTGAGTTATTCTCTATGCTTAGATAGTGAAGATGGATTGTAATTTGGGATGACAGTCAAAAGCAGAGTTTTACATAAGTAGTTTTCTCATTAAGAGTCCTTTTGTTGTGCTGAATATAGATCATTGAACAGGGAAGATAATGTTGCAAGACTACACTGCAAAAGCAGGAAATACAGCTTTGAGTTGCTTTGTTCTTCTCTAACCCTGAATCTTTTTCCTTTTCTTCTGTGGATAAGAGGGAGGTAGGGGAGGGGGCAGAGGGGGGGGGGGGGGGATCTGAACGGCTAGCATTTATTCCTTGTTTTATTCTGCAATAACTTGATTTCGTTCATATACGGATGGTGGTTTACCACCGTCCAAAGACCAAAGACAATAAAATCAGGACAATCCCTATCCTAAGTCTGAAGTCCTTGGAAGAAAGGGACAGGAAAATACAAACTTTGAAGACACGAATGAATTACAAATACCTCTAACCTCTTTCCAAAAGAAAGAGGAAAAAAAAACCCTGAAAACTGCTTAATTGTACTGCAACAAACAACAATCAGGAATAATCCCATGGAAGATTTGACTAGATTAGTATTAATTTCACCACCAAATTTGCTGTTGATCCTGCTTGAGACTTGAAACACACTCTCGTTCACAATTGCATCCATATTTCTGGCTCTTGTTTTCTACCATGCCCTTCCCTCCATACTTCATAGATAGATGCAAATTAAGCACGTCTTCTACATATAGTTCCCTGGATTTCTTTGTCTAATGAGTTCACTCTTCTGTAAGCATAGTCTCTGTATTGTTTAAACATTCTGACAATCAGACAATACCTTCTTTGTTCATGCTTTATGTATGTACTCTCCATACATCACCAATAGATGCAAGTCAGGCACATCTTCTAACATAGCTCATCTAATGTTTTCCATAAACATTTTAGCAGTTGTAAGCCCTTTTGCCTATCATCTATCCAACCCCCGTCTAAGTATTTCACTTCCTAGCTTAGTTAAAGATGATCCCAAGTGTTTGAATTATATTTCTATTGCAAAACCCTCTCTGAAGTTCTGAATTAGCAAATCCTTAATTACCAAGTGTCTTACATCGCTATTGAGACAGTCACACTTTCTTCATCAAGAACTTTTCTCCTGCACTCCAAATTTCTGACATGCTTTCAGCTTGGAAACATGAATTTAATCAATTTAATTTTTAGTGTTGACACATACTTTTGTAAGATTAAAGTAACACCCTGAAGCCTGAGAGACTCTAGATGCCGTAAAATATCTTTTCCTAATATTTGACTGGTTTAAACTGAAATCTTTGCTTAAGGTAGATTTTTTTTTGTAATTCCAGATGGCTCCAAAGCAGAAGATAAGAATTAAGTTGAGGTCCTACTGGGTCCCCTTGATAGAAGACTCCTGCAAACAGATAATGGATGCTGCAAGGACAACAAATGCAAAAACAATGGGGCCTGTACCATTACCAACAAAGAAGAGGATATATTGTGTACTCAAATCACCCCATGTGCACAAGGATGCCCGATTTCACTTTGAGATCCGAACTCATCAGCGCCTTATTGACATATTGTACCCAACTGCCCAGACCATCGACTCATTGATGCAACTTGATCTCCCTGCTGGTGTTGATGTGGAAGTTAAGCTTTGAAGATCTTGGGTAAGAACTCTCAAGTCATCAGTCTACTTATTGGACTGAATAACTCAAAACTAGTTTTACATTGTTTTAAACTTTAAATTATCACCTTTTTAAACTTTGATTGCTGGAGGTACTAGGAGATCAATCAATCATTCAAAATTCGCATATGTTTAAGGGACAGGATTTATATATGACAGCCATGATTTTGATGGCTTAATATTATTCATGTTGGAACTAGATATAATTATAATGGCTTGAATAATTTTTATCTTGGTACAAATTTTGCCATTATATGTTCATGTACCAGACTGACATTATTTTCTTCTTCCAGAACTGTAAAAATTGCCAGATTTCAGTGGTTGCAGTCTTGCAGATGAAGATCAAAAAGCCTGTCTCAATGGATTTTTTGTGTTATAAATTTGCAGAATTAAGTTAGCTTTGTTAATTTTTCCAACGTTTGTAAGCTTTATTTTCCATGAAAAAAAATATGCAAGCTGTATAATTGCTTATATTCCTGTAAAAACTGCTAGTTCAATGAAAATAGGGGAAGTATTGCATTCAAAAGTTATAGTTCAGATGCTCTTTGGTACAATTTTCTAGTTTGAAAAGTCGCTTAAGAATTATTTTTGGTCAATATCCTCTACTTGCAAAATGTTATAAATATCGATTAATCTCAATGATTTGTACTACTTGTGTATTTAGACGTCATCCAAACAAGAAATAAGTATAGGCTTGGTAATCAATGCAGCTAATGTTGTGACAAGTAGTGGATTAAATTTGAAAATTTGTAAATCTAAGGTGCAAGGAGCCAAATCCTCCAAAAGCTGTTAAAGTCGGGTTAAGAAGACAGTAGAGAACAACAATATTTGAAGATATTGACATTTGAAATAGCAATTAGTTAGAGGCACAATCGATGGCAGGTAATTACATGTAATATGGAGTTCAAAGTTTTTAATGTGACATAATCGTTTGATATTTAGAGACTACTTGCCAAAAAAAATTGGAAAAATGAAAAGAACTGCTCATTTACTCGGTAGAATATTCACATATAAATTTCTCCTTGATTCATAACAATAGCCAAAATAGGCACAATGAATGTCATCTTTACAGCTTCAGCATCTCTTGGAGAGCGAGTATCAAAATTATGTAGAAATTAGTTCTACAATTAGGTCGACCAATATGAGACTTAATGAAGCCCAATTTACAAATAAGTACCAAAAATATTCACTATCTTTCTCGTAGCTTTCCAACAGCATCTTTGCATTAACAGGAGCCCTAAAACACCATCTCATAAATAAACCAAGGCAAATATCATATGCATTGGCAGACATTTAGCAACTGAAAGATTTACAAACTGCCAAAACACCCTAACTTCAACTGTACCAGTCAAGTGCCGAGATTAGGAGGCAGTGACGACAATGGAGGACCTCGCGAATATCTCCATTCACCGCATGCTGAACATTTCTCCAGTTTCACGCTATTCTCTAAGGTACAGAATTTACAGGACCAGAATTTATACTTCACTGATATATCTTTCGGCTTCAGGGTTTCACATGCTTCACATACTAGAGCCAGTGGCTGCAAAGTTTTCATGATTAACATTAATGAATACTGAGTACAATATACCACCTTCATCTCCATGATGTTTGCATGGCAAGAAGTTTCAGTACATATTAAGAAAATTGTAAAACAACAAAAAAATCTAGGCTAAAAAAATTGATCAATTTTGCCCTTAACCTGCTACAAATTAGTTCATCCATTGATGTGAATTACGAAACATAAAGTGTTAATGCTTTAATGTGATCATACTAACAATCACAAGAATGAAAAAAATAAATATTCTGCAGGTGTAAGTAGATAATTTAACAAGGGATAGTGACCAAAGCAAACATTTTGACACAGATCGCCATTTAACAAGATGTACGAAAAATACACATAAATTTCTAAAGGGTGACTTACAGGGTTCAACAGGGTGCATGTTTCACAAGTCCATGTGGCAGATTCGCCATGCGTGTTCCCCGCATCAAGATTAGTTGTCAGCCCAGAGGATGAGGCGCTCATGGATACAGATGATGAACTGGCATTGGAGCCAATGGATCCTTTATTTAATTTTGCGCCATAAGCATCAACTGAGGCAGAATTTTCATCGTTGCTTAAATCAATTAGATTGGTAATGTCACAATTCCAAGACCTTTTCCGAGATGCTGCAGCTCCAGAGACATTGTTAGAATTTGAACTGGCACTAGCAGATGAACTGGCATGGGAACCAATGGATCTTTTACTTGATGTTGTGTTATGAAAATTAGTTGAGGTAGAATTTACATTGTTGCTTAAATCAATGAGATTTGTAACATCATTCTGAGACCTGTTCCAAGATGCGTTGTTACTATCAGAGGTATTTGCACTGGCAGCAGCTGGCCCACACGGCCCCCCTGTTTCCAAGAGATCAGAATCCCCCAAATCTTCAGCAAAGCCACCAGAAACGGAAGCACACCATATTTCATCCTGTAGTCTCCTTTCAGCTGCCATGGCAGCAGCTTGAACAGGGCTTAATGCAGACATTATGTTTTTATCACCACCAAGCCGTAAAGGTCCAGATGGTAGAAGGGAATTCAGACGTTTTCTGTTTTCAGCAGCAGCAACGGCTGTTTTGTGGAGGGAAGCTAGAGGTGGCTGGCGAGAAAACCCACCTAAACGTTTTCCAGGAAGATCAAAACCTTCTCCTGTTCCAGATATTCCATTGGACATCAATTCCTCACATTCCTGCATTTGATGGGGAAAAAGTAAATGACTAGGAGAAGAAACTACATAACCTGCTTATGTAATGGCTTATTTTAAAGTTTTGGATAAACTATGTAAAAAAATATTCTGCACAAAATACACAGATAAAACATGTATTGAAGTGTTCCCAAGATAACAAGTCATGCATTTAACTACCCTAAGGGGATGGCAATTCCTTTCATGAGTATCTGGTACCTAAGCAGAGAGCAAACATTGTTTGAATGAACAGATTTTGATGCCCAAAAAGATCCTGATTTGTGATGGTCCAGCCATATATTTCAATAACATTTCAATTTAAAATTTCAAATATAACAATTAATAAACTCATGTTGTATGAACTAGAGTTTCTAGAAAGTAAAATGTTACTTTATAGTCAACTCACACATTAATAAACCGCTTCCACTTTATAAGCTCATAAAGACTGTCACATAACTAAAACTATGTATGTAAACTTGATGCTGACCTTTCTAAGCTGATCCCATAGCTGATAGAAACTCGCATTATGAGGACCATGGGCATTATGGCAAAGCTCGTGAAGCATTGTATCCAATACTTCATGAAATGAGTAAAACTCTAACTCCCTGTCAGGTCTCCGAAGCCTCAACTTTACTTCTACCCCACGATTAACATTCAATCCAAGAAGTTCATTCCTCTTGGGACTGCAAGGCCAGTAAGTGAATTTCTATTACATTGATGAGATGCAATATAGAAACTAAAAATCCAGCCAAACCCAAAAGATCTGAAAATTAAACATTGTATGCGCGTGTGCGTGTGTGTGTGCTGCAATACTCAGATTTTTATTCAACCCAAGGACACCATGCTTGTCCCTATTATAACATTATAGACAAAACAATAGGGTGCTAGAAACCTGAAATGTTTCATCCTGTATACTCAACTGCATATGATCGTTCTTTCTTGAATCTAGGTACAGTGGCACGAGGTTCAGTAGTGCAGACTAAGCTCAAGAATGCTATAAAATGCACATGGTCTACATACAATCAAATTCTATCAAGAGTCCATTATTTATACAACAAGAACATCAAAATTTTATAATCATGTCACAATCACCTAACAAAGTCTCATAGCAACAACCATCTAACATCTACACTTTCCTACTACATTAAATCGAACTCGAAAGAAAATCCAAAGTTCAAATAACAATTACCTACAAACACAATCATGCTTCAAAAATCAAAACAATATGAAAAAATAGAAATATTAACTCCAATCCTTCAACAACCAACAAATTTGGAAATTTTACAGTAATGAGAAAACCTAAACAACAAAATTCACACTTACATTAAACAAATTGATGCAAAAAAATTAGGGAAAAAATCAAAAAGGGCGGGAGACATACTACATTTCAGAGAGAACTTTAACCCGCCAATTATGTTTGCGCATAATGGGTTGAACCTGTTTAGCAATGCGCTCAAGAATTTGCTTTGCTTCATCTTGTCGCGGTTTCCTTTTCAAAGCTCTGGTTTCCCATACTTTGTTAAGATCACCTAATTGCATTTTCTGGAATTTGAGTGTAAATTATGAACCCTAATTTTGACGAATTCCTCCCCTTTTCCGGGAACCCCAAATTAATTACCTTTGAATTTTAGTTTCGAAGATTAATTCGATAATTTGGGTTTGAATCGTTAGATGGAATTAGGGTTCATATTGATTTTCCTGGAAGAATTCAATTCAGTTAGAATTGTGGGCGGCAATAGTTTGAATAAAATGCACAAAAGCAGAATGTTTTGAGTTGTGTACCTTGTGTCTGTGTATATTTGAATTGAGGCCGTACGCTTGTACGAGTATTTTATTTTTTCCGATCTGAACTTATTTGGATTATGAATTTAAATTTTAGGGGAAACGAAAGTTAGACTCGATTATGCAATCAATTTAATTTTGTAAATTATTCCATTGAAATTCAAGAGCATTATTAATAATTGAACTTCACCCATAAAGATCAACATGATATTTTAAAAAATTGAAATCGCATGGACTTGATCCACTCATATTTTATAGAACCATCTTACTTCGTAGTTTTTATTTATTTTTATTTTTTTATCCATGAACCTAATTTATCTTAGTTTATGGTTCTAAGCTAATCTATACTTAATTTAATTGTGAATTAATGCAAATTATCCCTAACTAATTTGAGCATATAAGAAGTTATATGCCTTGAAGTAAAAGGAATTAAATGAGTGAAAATATACTTCAAGGAAACAACACTGGCATATATTTTTTTTGAAAAAAAAAAGCTTATAACATAAACTTTGGTCCGGATTTTTTGTTTTTCAAAATCATATGATATATGGTATATTATGAATCAAAATAGATTAAATTTAGTAAAATCATGTTAATTTTGCAAACTGGTAACAGAAAAGTGAATCATTTTTTCTTGTTTTAAAAAAACTAGAAAACAAAAAACAAGTAATTTCGGGCGTGTTTGGCATCGTTTTTTGTTCTTAGTTTTATGTGTTTTTGAAAACCAAAAATAGAAAACAAGAAAAAGGTGTTTCCACTTTTTTGTTGTCAGTTTTCAAAATTATCATGATTTTAATAAGTTTGACTAATTTTTAATTCATGTACCATATAATTTTAAAAAACAAAAAACAAGAAAACAGAAAACCACAGTGATACCAAATGAACCCTTCCATGTTTGTTTATTGTTTAGAATTACAAACATCCCACCCATATTAGTTGATAAGCCCATTAGTGATCAATTTTACTCGTGTAAAACCATCCAATCTTATATTAGTAGGCGAAAAGCCGAAAAGCTCAACTTTTGAGATTAAACTAGTTTTTAGGCCTGGGCGATGCCCTGGATTATTACATGAAATTAAATGATCATTAATATACATTGTAATTTATGATTTAATTTTCTTTGAATGAATATGTGTTTTTTTTCAAAAATAATTAAACCATGTGTGTGTGTGAGTTTGTTTAATACTTTAATCTCCCATATAATACTTTAATCTCCCATGATTATTATATAATCAATAGCTAATCACTTTAATAATTTTCATTACAGAGGAAACTTAAGAGTTAAGAGGAACAACAAACCGACAACTTCAAAAGCTGTTCTTAGATTGGTCATAAGTCTACTAGGATTAAAGATTTAAAGCTCAACCCTTGACTTAAGCTTAAGCTAATCTTTCTGGTTAGAAGTCTTAGAACCCTCAAACCCAAAACTTGTTACAAATTCCAACGACCTTTTTCTCTCTCCTCCCCAACTCACTGTTCTAGTGCTCTACACCTTCTTCTTCTTCTTCATGATACAATTCTTTCAAAACCAATAAAAAATAAAAATAAAAGGAAAAAATAAGTGCCCAAAGGGCCAAAGTTTCAATCTTTAATAATTTATCCTCAATTTTTTTGTGGGATTTATTGAATTGATTTGAGAGAAAAAGAGTTAATTGAATTGGGTGTTTTTGTTTTCTGGGTTTTGAGATCAAATAACAAAGGGGTTAATAAAATCATTGAAAAATGTCAGGAATTGCTCTAATATTAGATCTGATGAGGAAAAATCCCAACTTTTATTCAACACATACTTTGCATTCAGTTGGTTCATTATCTGCTAAAGCTGCGGTCTCTGGCGCTGCCGCTTCTGTTCTTGCCTCTTACCCTTTTGGGTTTAAGGCTTTTCTTGGAAGGTAATTTTATTTTTTCCTAATTGTAATTTAATATTTATAAAAAATTGAGATCATATAATGGTTTTTTGGTTAATTGATGTTGTTTTATATACTTTGGATGCTATGTAATGGGGTTTTGGTTAATTGATGTTGGTATGTCTTGATTTTAATTTTTATTTGCATATTAATTGATATTATATGGTTGGAGTATTGTCAATTGAATACGGAGTAAACGAGTAAATTGGTTATTTGTGAGCAGTGTGAATGGAGATTTTCATATATTCCTGCCTCCCTTAAGTTTATGGGGTTGTTTGATTGTAGACTTCGATTAGCGGTGTCCAATTTCGAGTAAATTTGAGCCTTTATCTGTTAAAGAATGTGGATAGTGGGTTATACATTGTATTCCTTATAATATGAGCTATAAAGTTGTAATCTTTGTCATTGGTTTGATTGTAAGTAACTGAACTAAATTGAATTGTTATGTTTAGTCTGACTTTAGAGTCCTGTTGACATTGTAAGGCGAGGTCGGATACATGAATTATTCAGCACATTGGGTGTTTACACTCTTACTAAGCCGTGTTCTAGATTTCATCTTCAATCTGTATTTGTATCAGTCAATCATAGTGGGCATGTGACTGTTATCCTTAGTGTAAAAGAACCTCAGTATTTGGTAGAGGATTTGATTATACTGCCGTGTTATTATTATCTCATGTATAGTGTCTACTGCTTTGTATTTTTGAGCTGAAGAGTTTGTATTGAATGGGGATATACTGGTTTAAAAAATTTTGGAAAGAAAGAAGCTTTAAACGGTGTAGCTGTCTTTGGTTCTTGATTTCTGTTGGACAAATTTAAGAGCCTATGGTGTCCAAGTCTTGAAACTTTTAGTGCCGTGCCAAAGTTGTTTCATAGTGGTTGCATGAAACAAGTTGTGATCTTTCTAACAAAACAATACTATGTTTTTGTCTTTGTTCTTGTTTCATTTCGTTTTTGAATTGATCGTTCATTCCTGTTACAAACAAAAGCATCCTAAGATAAATAGCTTCTGGTTCGGGATTTATATACTTATCCTTGTCTATTTATTTTTGAGGGATTGTGATTTGATGTACTGTGTTATTTATAGGTTCTTTGTTCACCTTGTTCACCTAATGAACTTTATATAATGGTCTACAGCAATACCAGAATTGCTTATTGTGATGCTGGTACAACATGGGATGAGGGTCACATCGCTGAGGCTTATGATGAGCATGTTTCCAAGAATAATGACGCTTCTAGATATACTTTTGAGCCTGAATCCCTATCATACTCTGGAAAAGTCTATAACTATGAACTAAAATCACTTTTCTCCGCCTTTCATCCAAGTACATTTGCGCTTACAGCCTTGAGATCATTTTTAATGTTTTATTTACCACTTTTGGAGCCTCGTGCGGCATTGGAGGATGATGATGAAGATTTCCTTGCTGATAATACAGAAGAGAGGCATGTAGACTTGATTACTCCCTTCCACAAGGCAGTGAGGCAAACTTTTCGTGAGGTTTGTTCTATTTACTATTCCATTTCTACATTTGCCTTCTTTTTCCGTTAAGTACAACTTTGGGCCGATGAATGGTGATTTAGAAAGTATTTGTATGTGAGATTTAACTACCTTTCCCTAAATTGTGATAATAACCATTATGTATATGCTGATGTTATCTTGTGGGCATCGTTTGTCTCCATGTATGTGATAATATCCAATATATATAGATTTCAAATAAGGCTTTCTAATTAATTTGCTTATAGTCTTAATAAATTGCTTCATTTGTCTGCCTTAATTCTCATAAATTATGATATATTTGTAGTAAAAAGGTGTCTCTCAATCGGCAGGCTGCTATAAATGAGCGAAAGTACCATTATTGAAATTTTATCTAATAAGAAATGTTGAGGCCTTGCATCGAGTTTTGTAGTTTATTAGGAGATTATAAAGTGCCTATTTCTGTGTATTAGGAGAGAGTTTCACTTTTGAGATGATAGTATGTTTACATTGGTTCTTTGCAGTTCAGGTTCTTGTTAAGTACATTGAATTATTACTGCTTTGATTCCCACTGTAGATTTTCTAACATATCTCCTCATTCATTGTCCCCGAAAAATAATGAACTTATGTAGATTTTATTTTTTCTCATCTCTAACTCTAAGTAACACCCCCCTCCAACAAGTATTTGGGAGTAAGGCTTTGTTTTTATTTTCTTATTGTTATGATATTGGTTTGATTGTAATTGAACTCTGTTGTTTTATTGTGCATCTTGTATATGATGCTAGATTGTTAAAACTACAGCAATGTATCATATATGGTCACAAATTATACTGTTCATTCAAAAAAGAAAAACGAGTCTTTGTTACCCCTTTTCTTGTATAGTCATGCTGTGATAAATGTGCTATTGCTTGTGTATATTGTGAGTGTACCCTTCATTGTATCTTCCTTTTGCACTGAGACTGTCTGTTTTTCCTTAAATCTCAGAGTACTGTCATTACTACTAGGAGGGTGTTGGAAAGACTAGCCGTCTCTTATCTCTCCCAACGGATGGCATGGAAGCTTATCAAAGGTATGCTGTATACTCGGCTAATTTTTTTTTTCCACTTTACCTTTGCTATTGGAACTATATATATAAGTAGGAAAAAAATTGAACATTTACTGACATCAGCTAATATATTGCTTTGCCATTTGTCTGTAGATGCTTCTAAATCTGCTGTGCGTAAGGCAGAGCGAGGACTGCCAACAACTTCTTACATGTGTGCTGTTACTAGAACAACTGCCAGAGGTGATTCTTCGATTATTAATTTTCCCTCTTACTTAACTTTTTGAGATTTTCAATTCTGACTTCATCTCTGCTTGATCCTTGCTTGGGGGGTGAATTTTTATTTTCCCATTGGAGCAGCTCACTGTCTAGGAGTAGCAGCACCTTGGATTTTTCAAGTTGGATATGATGTCTACAAAACCATCTTACGTCTATTTTGGTACTCTAAGGACGATATAGAAGAAGTTAATACAACAGAGGAACTTCAGCTTCTTGGTAGGAAGATATATGCTGTAACCCTCAAATGCACTGCGTCGTTAATCTTTGCTGCCATCGGGGCAGGCCTTGGTGCATCATTGACACGTGACATACATCCTAAATCTGGTCAATGGCTTGGTAAGAACTTCAATACTACCACAAACCCTCAGCTAGATGTTATTTCAGTTTGGATTCTTTATAAATTGCCAAATTTCAAAAGGATTTTTATTTTCTATTCCACTGTGCCCCCTTTATGTAAGTTTTCCATTACAATGTGCCGTCATCCTTACTTTCCATGTGAACTCACAGGTTGTGCTGCTGGAGATATGGCGGGTCCAGTAATTGTAGCATTGTGTTTCGACAAGCTTCTTTCTCCGGCAGTGTAGACTTCTATGGATATTGCTCATCTCTACACACTATCTCATGTGCCTCAGGACCAGATTTTGTATACTAGAATTGTTTATTTTTGCAGTATAACAGTCATCAGCCTCAAGGTTAGTTGCTCTGAGGCTCCAGAACATCAATTCATAACAGACTTCAACTCTTATCAATTTCAGATATCTTTTTTTCTCTTTTTAATCTCCTGAATAATGACTTCTTTTCAAAAGATCCTAACAGCTGCTGAGCCCTTTTCTTTCATATAGTGATTTATAGTCTAGAAAGTCAAAACTCATTAGGGAGATTTTCCTGATATTGTGCTCATGTTAATTGTATCTGTAATCATAAAACCTCAGCAGCAGCAGCAACATTCTGATCCTTTTGGTCAATTATTGTCTCGTTTTTGTTGTACGTTTCTATTATCAAGTTCAGCAAAATGGAAGTATTTGGAAGTTTTCTGATTGTTTACAGGGAACTGATTTAGTAACACTCCTCTGGTTTATATCTGCAATTCCTGTCGAATGAAGCGATTCTTGTTCGATAAGAGGGTGCACAGACATAAGCCAGAATGCTAAAATCAGTTCCTAGTTTAACCAATTTTGACTTGCTAGTGTTCACCTAACCTGAAGGCTTTGGTAGTTGTCGTTGCGAGACTGCGAATTTTGAATCCTCAGTTTTAATCTGTTATTGATTGCCTTGATTTACTGTAGGTAAAATAAATGACAGCATTGCAAATTGGTGAAATTGACAGTAATTAGTTTACACATTGGAATAATTAGTTTATATTGACTAAAAAGTTGATGGAGATAACTGTTAAGTTCATGAATCTGAAACCTTGGCAACATCATTCTTCTTCATCTATTCTTAACTTGCAACTGACAACTATTATTTGCTTACTTGCATTCAATTCTGATGACTTAATGATAATCTTAAAGAACAAATTGGTGGGAAAATGACTATAATATAAAGGATAACAGTGATAGATGTTGTTGGCTTGTCCTAGTTCAAAAGTGGATGTTAGCTTAGCTCAAGTAGTATAACTTTGATGTGTAGTTTATTGTATACAACTATACAAGTATATTTAATTTATACACACATTGTTTGAATTATGCGAGTTTCCATAGTATTCCCTATAGAATAGGCGCGGTGTTCACTTTGTCTATTCTATCCAAAGGCTATGTGCATCTGCCATGCATGTGATTATTAATTCCGAATAGAGGGGGCATATGATTCTATCTAGACACAATAATTTAGACGTAAAAGATTTTGTGTCAAATATTTGCAATTGTATGTTCTTGTAAGAAACAAAAATGTAAAATGCTCTAAGAATGTAGATACAAACTCTAAAACACAAAAAATTCAGTCTCAAGTAGCACTATCAAGTATCCCAAATCATAACCACAGCAATCACCCCAACTCCCAAAACAACAGCCAAAAACCTATAAAATGGAGTATTTACCCCAACTTTGTTATGAGGAGTATAACCCTTAGCTAACAAATGGTTGATTGAAACATACACAAACACCCCACAAGCAATCCCCATGGATATAGCAAAGATCCAATCAGCCACCGTGCCCTGGGCTGTCTGATCGATGATGATACCTATGGCAACACCAATAGGGCTCGAGATGGCAAATGCAAACGCGTATGATGCACAGGACAGTAAAGGCCTGTCAGGGATCATACGAAGGAGGGCTATAGCCATTGCGATGGCAGCAAAGATTTTGTGTAGGGAGATTGTCCATAGGGCTTTCCAAGCATCTGCTTTGGTTTCGGATACTCCGATTGCTATGCCTTCAAAGACTGAGTGGAAGCATAAGGCTGTTATTAGGAGGATGGTGTCTCCTAGAGAGCTTGCTGTTGCTAACCTTGCATTGGCAAAGTGGTTAGTGCTATGACTAGCCTGCATAAGCAAAAAAAATGTATCAAAAGCCGAGGTAAATTGAATTATTCGCCTTCTCATAGGTCACATTTAATTTTAATGGTCAAAACTCGTTAAATTTTGAGCATGGCTTGTATATACTATACCTCAGAATGATTTGTTGAATTTGTATGCTGGTTGGTTTTCTGATTTGGAAGTCCCTCTGCTATCAAAAAACATTAAAACATTAGAAACCTGGAAGTTTATACTAGTATTAACTAACATGTTAAAACATTATATTGAAACTTTTATACAAACATATTAATTGAAGCATGTAAATAAAGTTTTTTTTTTTTTGAGAAAATTATGGTCAATTGCTTCAAAATTGAGCTTTTCCTCTCCTATACTGAAAATCATTATAAAAAAATAAAAACCTCATGATCATGGAATTCTTGTTCCTACAGTAAATTATTTACTTGTATTAACTAACGACCCAAATTCTGCGCTAAAATCACGCACTTTTACTCCTTAAGTCACAATTCAGACCAAAATTAATAAAAAAGTTTTTATATGAAAGACAATAGACTCTTGTTTTAAGGAAAAAAACGTATTAAGGTACACGCGGATGCATGTAAGAATTCTTTCGACAAGGGCGAATTCGAACACATATAATCTCAATGGATATATCTTTTAAAAACACCCTAAAAATTCCCAATACGACACAAGTACCTATACAAACGTCGTACTAATCATTTTTTGAACGAGTCTAACAATCATATGTATGCAACTTTACCTTCATCAGAACTAAACTAACTAAACTAAACTAAAACGACAACCAAAAACCGAAAACCAAACATCAAATTACACACATAAAAATAAAAACAAACATACCTTCAATCCCATTATTGTTGGAGTGAGAAGCTTGAATGTTACTCTTTCTAAAAACATAGGTAATGACACAATCAGCCAACAAAGTAAGCAAATACCCAAAACAAGCCAACATAAAAGCAAAAGGGTATTCTTTTTCAGTCAAATCTTGAAAAGTTTCATTTGCATCACTCAAAAAATGCATCAACGCAGTTCCCAAGAATACTCCTCCAGCAAATTGAGTTCCTAGGACCAAAAACGCGTCGTTCCATTTCAAAAAATAAGGGGAAATACCCCCTATAAAAGTTCCTAGGAAAATTATTATGAGACACCATATTTTTACTATGATTAGTGATTTTTCTCTGAGATTGGGATGATTGGACGGTGTTGATGTGTCCTGATCTTGGTGGCCACTGTGGGCTGAGATGCAGGGGATTATTATTGTGATGATGAGAAGAAGAAGAGGAGAGAGAAAGTTGGTGGTTTTGGTAGTCATTTTGGTGGAGAATTGGAGAGAGAAATTAAATTGATTTTGTTTGGTTTTTATAAGTTGATCACGTGAGTTTTTTGTACTGCAAAGAAAGGACAAATTTAGATTAGTGGTACTACAATCTTTGTAAAGTAGCTTAATAGGTGATTAATAAATAATAATGTTTAGTTTATACACTCGAGTGCTTGATTGTGTATGTAATGGAGGGTGCACCATTAGCATTGTGCACTTAAACCCGCCCAAGTGTAACGTATAATTTGATTATGAGGATCATTGCAATGACTTTTTAGTCTGAATGAGTTTAAAAGAGTGATTCGAACATGTGACTAATTGTACACAGGCCTGGCCATTGGTCTTTGTCAATAAGCTAAAACCTTGTTGGTGGGGTTAGTTTAATGTGGAAAGAAGATTAGTGTGATAATTAGTGTGAGAATTTAGAGATTAATATGTTGGGTAGTACAATGATAGGGAAGTTTAGGAAAGAAGAAAAGAGTACTGCATTAATGTATAGTATTGGTTGCAACTTGCAATTAATTAGTTGGCACTTTTGACAACAAATATTTCAACAATATACTTTTCTAAGAAATTGCGTGATCAAGTATGAGGGTCAAGGATTCATATTCTAGGTTGATGATGTTCAATTGTCTGCGTCAAATTTGTTTGGAAGGTACTTCATCACAAAAAAATTGATTAATGATATTGGTATAAATATGGTGTGATGAGTAAATGTAACATGTTTTGAGAAAAAAGATGGAAAATGCAACATGAATTTCTTTGCCTTAGAATAAGTTATGTTACAACATAATTTAGTTCGTGTTATTTTATGAGAACGAAGTTGTAAGGTGTTAGGATTATTTTCTAACCATCAAAATTGACACAGTTCTTTTTTGTACAAATAGTATTCCGCAAATGATCTATTCAATAATATGAGACGACCAGACGTTATGTTTAGCCTATATATAGATTACTCGTTACTCAATACTCATTTACGGTGATTTCATGTGAAAGTAGATATTGTGTGACATAAAAATAGTTTATTGATCAAAGTAAGGTGGCTAAGCTATTACTCCTATTATATAAGCACAAATAGTTGAACCGCTGTTGTTGCAGTTGGTATCAATTGATGGCTTTAACCACCTACCCTAACAGAACTACTAGAACTATTAGAAGTAAACACGAAAATATCCAACCGATTATAGGCTGACTTACTGACTTACTTCAATATAGTTTGACAAGTTAAACATAGTGAAAGTAACAACTAAAGAGATGTTCTCTTAATCTCTTTAATTGATTTATATTAATCCAACTTGACTTCTGACGATTAAATTTATGTATTAGTATGAGTTATGTTGTGCATCGACACAATAGAGAACTTGTATAAGTCAATTATTCTTTTAATATGGTTGTAAACTTGTAATAATACAACACCATACAATCTTACTTCAGTTATTATAAGCATATAAGAAAAACGTAGTTTAAATTAGATGAACATATCGTAGTTACACTAATATTGAGATCGATAAACATATCATCATAACCTTGACTTATAAGCCAAATGAGTGGTTTATATTTGTAGTTTTGGAGCATATAAGTGTTGAAAGAAATGTCAAACAAACGAGTCACTTACGCAACGTAGCGTTGCCTTTACGTTGTATTGTTGCTGTTTGTCTCATTTGGAGTGTTGGTGTTACTTCATGTAGGGCATCAGATTCTAAGATGTAGCTTATCACTCTTCAAAGCCAGAGTTATCTAAGAGTTTGAAAATTCTAAGGATTAGACTTGGATATTTTCTGTCCCCTCCCCAAAAAAAAAAAAAAAAAAAAAAAAAGATGTCCATTAATTTTCAGGTGATCTAGTGAACCTTGAAAAATTATGGGATAGGGATAATGGAAAATGGTCAAAAACTCTAAATGGGCCGAGTTTAGCCACAAATCGTGCCCAAAATTAGTAAATTGGGCTGGGCCGACTTTCAAGCCTAATGCAAAAAAGCACAAAATTGTGTACCCAAAAATCAGCGAGTAGAAAGGACTTGTTTATTCGATTAATTTTCGGATCTAACCTTGCCCGATACCATGACAAATTTGGGTGAAAGAGATTAATAGAATGGTTTGATTTTTTTTTGTTTTAGGTAGATATTATTCTCCTAATAATATCAATATGCACAATATTTTCAATACCTTATATCTCTAATAAAAATACACTTATTTTGTTTGAACTCTATTACATGTATAAGTTGTATTAATATATTTTGTCCAATATATATTGTGTCAAAAAAAAAATATATTTTGTCCAAAATAAGTCGAACAAAATAAGATCTTATAATCTAGTATTGAGCCGACCAAATGTGGTGTTGGGAGACTTGGGACCCAAGGAAGTACATTCGAAATGGGTTCTAGTTTATATTAAGAGCCTAACCCAAGAGCCTAAGCTTGTAATGGTACACTAGTACAGTTGCTCATATTGATCTTCATAGTCTGTAGTTCTGTACGTACTTTTGTTTCCTTATTATCGTATATTTGTATGTTATCTTGTTCTTTTCCAAATTATCTTAAGAGGATAAACTAATTAAAGACGTATATTTAGGTCTGATTATAGTTGATTATGATTTATAAAATCCTACAATTAAATTAGTTCCATTATTGTTCGAATTGGACCGGTTTCTTAAGGTCTAATTATTTAAATCAAGATACGGAGTACTTGATCAGTTTGCTACACAAAAACAAATCTATTCATTCTAGTTACAACTTACTAGCAAAAAAATTTCAAGAAATGATCAATCTAGTACAGGAACAAGAAAAAAAAGATAAAAATCAGTCCATTTATCCTACAAAGTACACGTTTATTTGATCATTTAGTTCCTCCTTGGCACACTTCTTCTTCTGCTGCCAAAATGTTTTTCAGAAAACTGTACTGCAACAAGCTCCATCATGAAAGCTAGTTTTGCTAGCCAAAACGGCTTTCCGATTGACAGCATATAGTATCCCCATGCCATCGCTACAACTGTACCACAACCATACCCCATCAGTATGATTTCCCATTCTGATAATAAGCCTGCTTCATCTCTGAAGTCGTCTTCATTACTGTCGTCAAACTCATCATCTTCGGGTTTTAACTGTCCATCTCCTCCTCGGTTTGACAGTGGGAATCCATATAATCCAAGGTTTCCCCTGTAGGAATCCTCTGAAAATGTATTGAAGTTGCTTACATGAGGAATCGGTCCCACCAGCTGGTTGTCTGATACATTGAAGACTCCTAAAGATGTTAAACTTCCAAACTCTTCAGGGATTTTTCCTGTGAACATGTTGTCAGAAAGGTCCATTGAGTTGAGCAACTTTAAGTCGCCTAATGATGCAGGGAGGTTCCCTGTAAGGCGGTTGTGTGAGAGGTTAAGGCCGTGTATTGAGACTAATTGGCCCATACAGTCAGGAATCTCACCACTGAATACGTTGTTTGACAGATCAAAAGTCGCGAGTGTGGTGAACTGATGATCTTCTCGTATCTTCTATCTACACCACCAAATGACAGTACAATGGAGTAATTATATCCATCGCGAAGTGAGTTGCTCACTGGTGCCCCCATGTACTTGGGACTACCACTCCCACTGTACACACTGATATTCATCATTGCTCGAAAACTTCTTATATATGTTGCTGGTATTTTTCCTCTGAAATTGTTACCAGAGAGGTCGAGGATCTGCAGCATGGGAAAAAGGCCGCGTTCTGCTTTTGAGTCTGTTATAGAGCCATTGAGCCTGTTGGAGCTCATGTCTAGGACTTGAATCTGAGGTAGAGTATGCAACCAATACGGAAATTCATCCCTTAACTGGTTGCTTCTAAGATTCACTAACTGTAAGTTTGTGCAGTTGGCCAAAGACCGCGGCACCAACCCCTGCAGCAAGTTGCTGCTCAAGTCTAGAAACTGCAAGCTACTGCACTTGGAAAAAGTTGAAGGTAGAGATCCATGAATGTTATTCGAGCCTAGATTCAACACGACAAGGTCATCACTGATATTTCCCAAACAATGTGTGAATTCACCACCTAAGTTGTTATTAGACAAATCAAGAAGTCTAAGGGAAGTTAATGTGCATATTGAAGGGTCAATTAGGCCCGTGAAGTTGTTATTTGAAGCGGCGAACCAGAAAATGGTGGCGGATGGTAATGGAAGTGGACCGTGTAGCAGATTAGAACTGACATGGATAAACAACAAATTGTTCCAAGGAAGGTTTGCTAGACTTCCTGTCAGAAAATTGTGAGAAAGGTCTAGATATTCTAAGATGTTATTCCCTACTTGGAAAATCCACTGAGGAATTTCACCTCGAATACTGTTTTTGGACAAGTCTAAATCTTGCAAGTAGGTTTGATTCTGTAATATTTCAGGGAATTCAGTTAAATTGCAAGAAGAAAGTGCTAAAACAGATATTTCAGGCCAGGGGAAGGCGGTCAGATCAACACGAGTATCAGTTCCTGTGGTGCTCACTGAGAGCGCGTTATCTGATAAAAGAAGTCCCATAAGGTGTTGGAGCTTAGAAAAGATGTCATACAAGTTAACATTGCCAGTGAATTTGTTAGAACGAAGATCAAGATATTCCAAACTCGAACTAGTAATACTAAGAAGGTACTCACCTAAAACATCTGTGAAGTGGTTGTTGACTAACACGACGACTTCTAGCTTAGGAATGTTCCACACCCAAGTTGGGACGGGTCCATGGAAACCACAGCCTGGTAGTCGCAACACTCTCAGAAGATTGTATTGAGCATGACCGGGTGATGATGGAAGTTTCGAAGATAAATTGACAAAGGAAAGGTCCAAGTACTGCAGGGGACTAGTCCAGTTATATAGCGCGAAATTGGAGTAAACATCATTGTTTACTCCAACATCAAGGTACTCTAAGTACGGTAGGTTGAGAATATCAATAGGAAGTTCCTCTTCTAACTGGCAACTACGTAAGTTTAAGTATGTTAACGAAGATAAGTTAGTGATCGATGGAAATACTATCGAATCAAAGGTAGTGTCACCAAGATCAAGTCGTCTCAACTCTGTTAAATTGCTCATGATTTTCTTGAAGCTTGGCATTCGAAGAGTATTCCATGAAAGATCAAGGGTTCTTAAACGAGAGAGTTGGCCTATTTCGAGAGGGACTTCACCACTAAAAAATGAACCCGAAAGATTAAGGTGTTTCAAGGACAAAAATTGTGCAAATTTAGGTGAAATAAGAGATGATGAAAAGTAATTATAGGCAAGGTTAAGGCTCTTAAGGTGATGGAGATCGAAGAGGGTGTTGTTAGCTTCGATAACACTACTAATGATGCCACCATTGCTAATGTTGAGTGAAATCACACGAAAATTTGTTAAATGACATGTTATTCCTTGCCATTCACAACAATCAGAATTCCTCTGCCAAGACGATGTTACACCCATGCTATCCGAGACAAAGGACTCTTTAAACCGAAGCAATGCATTGTAATTGTCGTTGTGACACATGAAGTGTCATGAGTAAGAGGTATTAGAGAAATCGAACGAGGAAGAAACGAGTACAAAAGTTAAAGCATTGCATAGCAAGAAGAAGTAGAAGCACAACAACAAAGCCATTGTAAGTTGATGTGTCTAGCTAGGAAAGTTGCTAATGACTTGATTAATTGTATGATTATATGGCTAATTAATACTAGAGCGAGTAAGATGGACAAGATATTAGATAAAGCAATGTAAACTTAGGATAAAAATAATGTACATGAAATTCAAAGGAAGGTCTGTATGTAAAGACTGTAGAATCTACATTTTCAATATAATTGAATTAGTTAATAATTAGTTTAAATTAATACTGTATTATGGTTTAAGTGTCAATTCTGAATGCTTAAGTCAATGAGACATTGTATTTTAAGTTATACTAGGCTTATAAAAATTGTATTTTAGCAAAATTTTTATATATGGAGTAAGTAATTAAATTATTAATGATCATGAAACGAATAATGTAACCTTTTTGGATTATGTATCATAAAATTTGATATTATTATAGACTAATAGCAAATGTTAGTGCACTTTTGTTTTAATTATGATTTTAAGTATTTTAATATATACGATGTAAACATATGCTAAAATCACCTAACTTGACATTATATTATTCGTCTGTTATCCACCAAATTTCTTCTTTATCACCATAATTGCCGCTTAATGGTCTTTATTAATAAAAGACGTACAGTCTACCTCAAATATTAAATTTGTTTCATGTTTTTAGATCTAAACCACTTATTAATTATTGACAAACTAAGGTGGTAAACGGGTCGTTTGAGTGTATTGTACACCATACATTTCAATTAGAGTAAAAATCAAGATATATTATTTATAATTAAGTGTTGAAAATATTTATATACATCCGGGTGTAGGATGCACCAGAAATTATTTTTTGCTCATTAAACATTTTTAGTAAAATAAGCAAAAAAAAAAACACCTTGATGTAGCATACACCCGGGTGTATGTGTATATAACAATCATTATGTAAAGTGAGCTTAGATCTAGTTTTTAATTTGCACTAAAGTAGCCAAGTTCAAACCCTTATACTCTAGGAAGAACATACTTAACTCCATGCATGTCGTAAACTACACCTGAAAATTAAGAACACCATATATACTTATTCTTCAAAAATCTTTAGTATCTCCAACCAATATTACAACAATATTTTCTCTTATATTTCGAATTATTTAATTATGATAATTAACATCTTACATACCATTATAGAAGGTTATATATGTTTTAGGCTGGCACTTTGGGATGAGAATTCCCTTACCCTTTTTCCCATTCATAAAGTGTCATTCCTACTAACTCGAATGTGGGATTTGTGAGAGATTTCGCTTCTCTATCCCAATCAAAAGAAATGTTGTAGTAAAGGTCTGTTCACTTCAGCTTAATTTCAGTTCAATTCAGTATAGCTTCAATAAGTTAAGTTCAATTAAGCTTCTAATTTCCTTCTCTCATAAAATATTCATTTCAGCTCAGTTCAGTTCCAATCAATTCAGTTCAATTCAATTCATTAAATATAAACAGACCCTAAATAATTTAAAAGTTCAAAACTTAGAGAAATTCTCTGTCTCTAATAATTTGAATTTTTTTATAACTCTTGATAGAACCCTAAATATTTAAGTATGATAATAAATTATTTTATTGAAACCAACATTGACCCTTATTTAATAATCCAACATCCGCGTGCCACGATATGCAAATACGTACGGTTGGCGTTTAAAGGATGTTCAAAACTTGCAACTACTTCCAATCTTCCATAACTAGTAAATTGGCCAACAAGCATGGGAAACACAGAAGAATAATCTAGAATCACTTGAAGTATTTTACACCGTTTCAAGTATGAACATAAAAAGTTGTCACGAGAATTCACACGCAATCGTCAATTTAAATTAATGTTTACACAATTTTATGTCACAATTGACAAACATAAAACCGCCTGAATAATAAGTTTCCAACACTCAATAATTTCCATCTCCCATAACTCTAGCTGTCACACTTGTGACTTGATCATAAACCAACCATAGAATACACTGTATATACAATTATATCAATTTTATATTATTATAATAATTGAATAAATATCATACAATTTATTACTTGCATTTCAAGCAATTATTATTATATCAAAAAATGAAAAAATATCTTGTGATGGAAAACAACTCACACAATACAAGCCATGCCCTAATAATTAATTGTAACAACTCACCTCCTCTATAAATAAGAGCCATTTCTCTCTTCTAACTTGGTTTAAAACAATCCTCTCAAAAATCTTCACCTTCTATTTTTCCAAAGAGTTATGGCAATGAATTGGGTAGTCAATTATGCTATGCCTCACCTCATAACACAATCCGTTGTGTACCCAAATCACGACCTTAAAGATCGTAAAAAATTAATAGATACTGAGAAACCTTATAATACTAAGAGCGATGGGATAACAGAAGATTTTCAAATGCCTCTTCATTATCCGAGGTATACAAAGGAAGATTACGAGAAGATGGAGGAACGACGTGTAGATATGCTACTAAGGCAATATGGACTTGAGAATCATGTCAAGGGTAGCCTTGATGAGAAGAGGAGCTTTGCTATGGGTACCTTCTTGTGGCCTGATCAACTTTAAATTCAATTTTGATAACTCTATAATTTAGCAAAAATATATACTTCGCATTTGAAATGGGCCTGAATAAATTACTATTAGACTGATGACTCATGTGATGAGTTGTTAGTATTGTTATTATTATTCAAATTTCAAATCCTAATATGATGTTAGTTGTGTGCGGTATTAGTAACTTAATTATAAGTTATAAATCGATCAATTAGTTGTTGTAATTTTACATTTTAATGTGAAATCAAAATCAATACTGCTTGTTTCATATCAAATTATTATTCGGTAATATATTGGTATAGTACTCTTTATAAAACTATAAATTAGATTATTTTGTACTAGGATAGGCTAATTTCCATCGATCGTTTAATTATTGGCAGCAAACAACAAACCAAAAAATGAGAACATAATGAACGGAAAAGTTGACATTTTGCAATTTCAAACTAACTTCGTCAAGTAAATTAGTTTTGAACTCGTAATCTAAACGGTTTAGCAAATGTAATTTTTTTTTTTAGTGACTAGTGGTACTAGTATATTTTACCATTTTAGTGTAATTGGATTTCTTGGCAATATATTTTGCGAAATTTGTCGAGCCTTAATGAATTTTGACGAGCTCAACAATAAAAAAACACATATAAACCATTACGTCGAGGTGAGGTGGTTTGTATTATTACTCTTACTCAAAAGACATAGAGCGAGTAAACTAACACACAGGTCACATACTACAACAACAACAAAAAAGACTGCACAAAAAATACATACTTCCTCCGTTTTTTAGTTGATGTTTCTTTAGTCACATTTGCTTATGCACAATTTTAACCATTCATATCTTTAGCTATCGATAAACAAAAATTATGAAAAGTAGATATTTTGAAAATATATATCATGACGAATCTCACAAGATTCCATATGATTATATTTTTTATTAAGTACAAATTAAAACAGGTCAAAGAAAAGTGTGTAAATAATGTTATTCAAAACGTGTCAACTAAAAAAACGGAGGTAGTATATCGTAATAGAAATCCAATAATAAAAAATTATAAAGATTGCACCAAAAAATTAATTCACATTATTAATTTAATTTATATTTATTCCATGACTTTTTATGTTAAAATTTGTCATGCTTAAAGCTTACAATCTTCATGAACCAAACCTCCATACAAGATTTTGTTATAATCTCTACCGCACTACGAATTGCAAAAAACAGAGTGAAAACAAAATTAATCTACTAGAAAGCTCTTGAAGTTAAATGTATCTTCCATAATGTTCCAAATGTCACACTTTATTTTTAAAAACCATAACCTGCCGTATTATATTATCACACATTGATTACTTCTAATTCACGTACAAAAATATAAGAAAAAATATATTTAAAATATAGAAAATTGATTTTGATGTTGTAACTTATATACTTGGGCTGCAATGGTCGGTTTTATACTGGTCGGCTTTGTTGAACTTAGCTTAGCTTTGCTCTAGTAAGTATTAATAGTCGTATTAATAATGTGCTTACACTTATTCTGTCGTGCTGACACCTGCTCTACATATGATATTCCCTGAAAATAGTATAGTGCACCCGGGTGCACCATGCGCATGGTGCACCCGGAAAGAACATTAGACATATTTTAAAGAACATGGGCAAAAAAAAGAACATGCTAGTGTTAGAAAAAGAACATACTCCCTATGTTTGACAAAAGAATATGTTTGTGTTTGACAAGAACATGACATTACAAAGAACATAAAGTCTTTAAAAAAATAACATGTTATTTTTCATGGTTATTTAGGTGTTGAACGTGTTTAAAGAACATTATATTTGACAAAAAAGAACATGTTCGTGTTTGACAAAGATGTAGGTGATCATTGGGTGGGCTTGGCCAAGGTTAAAAAATCAGCTCACTTCTCGGGTCGGGCCAAATTTTGGGCCGAAGTTATTGTGCCCAAAATTGTCCGGCCATGCGGGCTTTTCGAGTACGTCTAGTAAAAAAAACAACTAAAATGCATAAAACACATTCCCAAACCCGCCCAATGAATTAAATTTAAGGGTTGGGTCCGACCCGATTTTGGGGGCGAAAAAATTCTGCCCAAAACCCGTCCAAAATCGGGTCCCGGGCCGTTCTAACTTTGATCACCTCTAGCCAAAGAACATAAAGTCTTTACAAAAAGGACATGATAATACATTAAAGAACATGTTCTTTTTTCTGGTTACTCGAGTGATTTTTTTTTTTTAATGTACATACATTAAAGAACATATAGTTCAAACTCAAAGAACATAATCATCAAAATTAAAGAACATATTATGCTCATGTTCTTTATAAATATATATAATGTTCTTTTTTTGCCCATGTTCTTTTAAATATACCTTATGTTCTTTTCGGGTGCACCATGCGCATGGTGCACCCGGGTGCACCAATCATACATTAGATATTCCCTGCTTTGCTTAGAAGCTCAAAAAATAGGGTCTTACTCTTTTATGTCGGTGGCCACACAATGTAGCTATCTATTATGGGGTTTACTTTATCAAAGTTATAGAGGTTATCCGTTTAGTGTTATAGGGGTTACTCGGATTACTCGGTTAGTGTCTTGCTCTAGGAGTTATATACTTTATTCTGTTGCAAATAGTTATTCGGTAAGGCCAGTTGCACATAAACTTGTTGTACTTTTGTTTTTTTTTTATGATTAGAGAAATGAAAATTATTTAGAGGGTAGTCCCTTAATTAAAAAATGCATATAATTGAAGGGTTGGGGATTGAGTACTGTAGTATGTACAAAAAAAAACACTAGTAAAACAAAGTGAAATATTAACACGTACTCCATAGTATTTAAAAAAAATAAAATATTGAAAATTTTGAGTGCTATAAAGAATTGTTGATAAAGGAATAGAATACATGTCATATATTATGCTACGTAACAAAAATTCAGATTAACAACCCTTTATTCCTCCTTCTTTCTACATTTCTTTCTCTGTTTCTCATCGCGCTGCTGTTCAGTCATGCTAATTTTAAAACCCCAGGTAATGTTTATTTTTCCTCTTTCTCTTTCTCTCTTACACTTCTTAAGATCTAAATATTCATTTCTTTTTTAATTTTTAAACTTCATTGCAATTTGACTCATTTGAGCCACTTCTTGTTGTGATTCCATTAAAAAAGTTTCCATCTTTTTTAGCTTATTGGCTGTACTCCGTAATTTATTCGTTTCTCTATCAATTATAATTCCACTTTAACTATTTGATTGTACAATTAATTTCTATTTTATATGTAACAAAATTGGAACAAAACTCCTGTACATTTCATTAAAAAATTCATTGTAAATCATGGTAATTTACTTAATTTGATATGATTTAAGTAAAAATATATCATTGTAATGCTAAACCCCAGTTGGAACTCAAGCGAAATGATCATGAACTTCTACATTTACAAGTATGTTTTCTTTGTAGACAATGGAAATTCTGATAATATGAGATTTATTTAGATTAATTTTGCATTATTAGAAAAAAGGGGGGAAAGGGTTGAATTAGAAATCTTATTAATTTATGCAAATACTTTGTAGCATCACTGATGAAAAATCCCTCAAAATGATAAAATTATGGGCTTTTAGTAGGCTTATGGGTTGTTTATACATTCCATGGCAAGCTGGTCAATTGTATACTAATATTAGGTTAGTTAGTATGTTGTGATGTAATAGGCAAATGTATACCGTTATCGAGTTTGTTATTGAGTTGTGTGTTCTTAAATGCCTGGAAAAATCACAAGAGTGGTAGTATGTCGAATTTTGTGGTGTAAGCTGCATTTACAAATTAGTAATAGTCATATATACTATTTTGGGTGTTAAATTAGTTACATTCCCGTAATGTTTTAGGATCAAATTTATCCAAGACGGCCCTAATTAAATTGATGGTTGGAAAAAGTATGACAAAGACACCAATGTTGAAGAATATCAAGCTAGATTGATGGAAATAATTTTAAACGGCAGTTGAGGTTGTAGCTTACACCTTACAGTTGCTAAGTTACATCAAAAGGTGACATGCTAAAATAGTCTTAAAGCACCTTTTCTTTTCTTTGTTTTTGGTAATTCTATTGAGAGCCTGAATCTATGGTTAATATTTTTGAACTGTCCCCTTCCAACCCAAGTGCCTTCATTGTTCTTTACTTGCTTTTTTGGCGAATCAATATTGTATTCTAGGAGAATACTTATGGTCTCATCTAACATGGTAGCTAGGTTCAAATGGTTGACTGCTGATTAGCAAAAGAAGGGACATGGGCATTTCAACAAGGATAACTTAGAGATTATCCTCTCTTGAAGTTCTTTGAATCCTGTTTTCGCGGATAAAGGTATGTACTCTTTAGTCTTTACTGTCCTATACAGCATGAAGTATGCAGCTGGTGTGTATGTTTTATACCCTTTTCCTCAAAACTTTACCTTATATCAGGCCTGCTGGCTTCCAGGACTGCCCAGACTAGGATACATGTGTTTGAAGCAGCAGCATCAGAACTTTGCTGGGATTTGTGCGAGTGTTTCTCTTGGTTTGAAAAGTTATGATGATACTTTGAGGAATGAGAATGGGGTTGTTCTACCAGGAACTATGAGTTTGCAAAGGAGGGGATTCCATCACTTAAACCAGGGAAAGTCATTGCAGTTCCCACTGATACTATTTATAGTTTTGCTTGTGATGCTTGGTAAGCTCTTGTTGTAAGTTGGAAACAGAATTAATGAAATCAAAGGGCGTAAACTCACAATCCCTCTTGCCATTTGTGTTGGTGATGTTTCAGTCCTTTCAGACTTAAAAGCGGTTTGCTGTTACAGATCATCTGCCAGAAACTTTGTTTGACGCTCTCCTTCCTGGCCCCGTGACTTTAGTGCTAAGATGAGGTTCTTGCCTCATTTCTGAGTTTGTCTTTACAATTTGATTTGCTGAAGCTGGGTACATGCTTGCTCTGTATTATTTTATATACACAAGTATTGATACTACTTAGAAGCAGAGAAGCTTGTTGTGGGTTACATGATTTCATCAGATTAAACTGATATATAACGAATAACTGTTAAGTCTTTTTATTTCAGGTGATTTGAGTAATCCTGAGAAGTCACTAAACCCGGGATTAGATAGCATTGGTGATCAAGTGCCTGATACTAATTTCATTAGGATAATTGCTCGAGGTAATGGAAGCACTTTAGCTCTGCTAGTGCAAACTTGATTGGGCATCTTAGCAGTGTCTATGTGAAAGACTTTGAAAACCTCTGGCAGCATTGTGCATGTGTTTGATGGTGGTGACTGGTGAGCTTCCAATGGGTCGTGCAGGATCTACAATTGTGCATTTGACGAGTCCTGGAAAATATAAGATACTTAGGCCTGGCGAGCCGGGTCAGTACTCAGACTAGGAAAATAGAATGCTATTCTCTCCGTCCCTTTGTGACATTTTCATGGTTTGGTTGTTTTTACAGATCGTTGTTCTCTTGTATGTTCTGAATTTTCTGTTAAATGACTTGTGAATTATATTGGCTAGTAGCATTCAACCGGCAGGCAGGCAGAAATTAGGGATGAATTGATGATATACCAATTCACATTTCACAGCAGCATTAAAATTCCCTATTATTGATACTACACATTTTTCGTGTTTATGTATGTACATACAATGTGATCATATTCAATAGGAGTATTAATAATCTCATATGTAATACTCTGTAACACAATTCTTGTGATATTACGACTTATTTTTGTACATAAAATACAACAATGTTGTATACTCCAATGTATTCTTGCGAACTCTAAGCATTGATTTGGCTACATGCCTACACATTGGCCTTTTCTCACTAGCTATTTTCCAAACAAACTCAAATTCAGCCATTCCACGATGTGAACATGCTCAACATGTTCATTCTATATCCAAAATGCTCCAATATGCTCGTCTTTAACATCATTTTCATCCGTATTTTCATTGTTCCTACCTTCATATTTAGCTTCAATCAAGTGATTACAAGTATATATTTCAAAGAAAAAAAAAAGTGATTACAAGTATAGTAAATGACTTAAAATAACAAACATAGAATTAGAAAATAAAAACAGAAGACTTAGACGGACAACTACTGCAACTTTACAATGAACATACTGAAATTGAAATTGTTCTAGGATTCACAATTAGACAAAAACATCCAACTTACAACCCGTAGAATTGGGGAAAAGATAAACCCTAAAATCGACAATGAAATGAACAAAATTACTAAACATTAAACAATAAAGGAAAATTTGGTGGATTGTATGAGAAATACCGAAAGCCATACATCCAAAATCACTACATTGATGCCGAACGAACCCTTACTCGATACCCAAAAAGCACTTTGCTAATCATTCAACAAATACTGATCAATCGAATTGATCTCGAACATTTTCAAGAACTTGCCTAACATCTTTCCCAGAAAAATTCCTATCCTTTTTATCATAAAACACATTATAAACCGTGCTTAAAACTTCCAAAACCCTAGCAAGATCTTGATCATCTTCCAAAGGAGATTTCTGATTGAAAAAATTATAGGGTTTAATTTGAATCAAATTAGCCTTATGTTCACCCCAAACCTCTTCACAATCATCCACATTCAAAACAACCCGTTCGTAAGACAACACAACATCAAGCCCCTTTCGATCCGACTTTGTACCATGCTCCTTAGAAATAACCCTCGTAAAACAAAAGTTATTGTCGAACACGCCCATATTAGCCTCGAGCAACTTACCCACTTCCCTAGCGTAGGACTGTTCCGCCATGGTGTATATCGACAAATCGAACATCGTACTAACTCGCTCGAGAAAATGACACGTGCCCGGCCTTAACTTGACTAACCAATCACCACCCAAGATCTCGAACACGTCATCATCTTTACCCATTTTGTTCTTTTTTCGATCCTTTAGGTTAACCTTCTTGGTGTGAATTAACGTGTTGTCCAAGTCAAGAACTAAGTGAAGCTTCTTGCGTTTAAGTAAGGTTTCGAGATCACGGTCTCGAACACGACGAATGGCGTCGAGGGTGAGGGAGAGTTTAGGATCAATGTAACGGAGTTGTATGGTGGTGGGATTATCGCACTTGTTCTTGGTTTTCTTGCAACATGCGCATGAATTGTTGATGAATGCAAAATGTTGGCATTGGTTGTTGTTTTTCTTGTCGATTGATAATGTTGCTAGTATTTCTTCCATGTTTTTCTTGGAATTTTTTTTGATGAATTTGAGAGGGTGAATTTTAGTTTAATTTGGAAAATGTAATTTTTGGATAGAGGTATATATAGGGTACTATATACTAGCTGAATGAAATAAGTCGATTTGTGTTATTAGCGTTTTGATAAGTTTAATAGTTTGATTGATTTGCTAATTAACATAAATAAAAATATTATTTGTATCCTTTTGATAAACAAAGGTTTTTTTTTTTTTTTTTTTTTTTGAGGAATCGATAAATAAAGATTAGTCTGTGACCATGTTTGATTCACCTTAATTTTGCTGAATTGAAATTATTTTTACTGAACTGAACTTATTTTTACTGAACTGAACTTAATTTTACTGAACTAAAATTATTTTTACTTAATATTTTTTTTTAAGGTGAAGAGAACAGGGCCTATATGTTGTGATAATTACAACATGTAGAATTAACATTTTTTATCTAAAATATATATATATATATATATATATATATATATATTCGGAAATGAGATATTGATAATTCCGTGCTTCAAAAAAAAAAAAAAAAATTGATGATTCCATTTCAATATACTTTTTCGATTTGATTGTGAATATTTGCGGCATTTAAACTTTTACACTAAAGTATATTGCCGGACAATGGTAGACCCAAATTTGTTGTACACCAAACGGCATTAGCTTAGCAAGGTGATGAGTAACGTAGTACATTAATTAGTTTATATTCCTAGAATCCTAGTAGTGGATAAAAGTGACTAAGTGAGTTGTTTGTAATAGAAAAAAATAATAATTTCCAAATGATATATTCAGATTAATCTTGTCAAACCAAGTTTACACATAGTTCTAAAGTTCCAGAGGAACTCTAATTCAATTCAATCTAATCAAAGTAAGCAATATAAGTATATAAGTATAAAAACTTAATCAAATGTATTTAAGTCATTTTTATTATGAAAATTGACAACAGAAAAGTGAAAACACTTTTTTTTCTTGTTTCCTGTTTTTGGTTTTTCGTTTTCTAAAAAATAGAAAATTAAAAACAAAAAACGATACCAATCAAGCCACAAGGTTTGTTTGGCTTAAAATGGTCACAAGTTGTGCCTTTGGTCCGACCCATTGCCCAAGTCTACTAAGTATTAACTATACGTGATATCATATCGAAATTTTCAATCAAGCGATTTGAGACTTGCCAAAGCCCTATTATGTCTTGTCATCATGTTTAGTTATACTTGTTTATTGCTTAAGTGAAATTTAATCTATTTTTTTCCTATAATACAAATTTAATCTATTTTTAATTACTTTATCGTGCAGGCTAAGACGTTTTCCAAAAGAGAAATAACTTAGACATGACGTACATAATAACATGTCGTATCATATTGTGTCGTGCATTTCTTTTGTCGCCATGTCTTGCAACACCACGACCTTGCCCAACCTATTGCAATCTCTCTAGGCTCGGCCCGTAGCCAGCCCTCACTCCAAAAGAAAATCGCAATACTTCAGAGTCTCTCCGCCATCTTCTTCTCGGCGCCGGTACTCTTGTACTCTGTTACAGCATTAAGGTACTCAAAACTCCTTCTCTCTCTTTCCTGTTCTTAGATTTCATCCTGTATAATTGCAATTTTGCTTACCCAATCTTGTACTTCTTTTGAAATTTCTGGTATCTTTTGCTATTTTTGTTTTTTTTTTTTTTTTTTTGGGTTGTAATTTATAGAACAATCAATTATCTGGTTTCTTTCTTTTGGGTAGTAATGTTATAGAATCCTGCATTTCAATTGTTTGACTGTAAAGTTCAATTCTTGTTTCAGATAAACAAAAACCCAATTAATTGAAAGTACCCCAGTTGGGTTTTGCCGGGAAAAAGGTAAGAAAATGAAATGGAAATATGCAATGGTGTGTTCTTCAAATCAGAACAGAAGCATGGAGGCTCATAATTTGTTAAAAAAAACAAGGGTTTGATGTCTCATCTTATGGTACTGGTGCCCATGTTAAGCTTCCTGGACCCTCACTAAGTAAACCTAATGTTTATGAGTTTGGTACTCCTTATAAGCAAATGTTCGAGGAGCTTCGTCGAAAAGACCCCGAATTGTATCCTTACATTATTGTGTTGTTCAAATTTTTAAAGCAAATGAAGTGGGTTTTGATTATTGTTGTAGATTGTTCTTGAATTTTGGTAAATTCAGTGTTGATTGGGGAGTAGTTTTGATGCATTATATCAGGTCAATGAAATCATTATGTTTTCAAGCATAGTTGAATGGATGTCAAATGATTAAATGTGTTTGTTCTTGCTCATTTTATATTGTGTAATTAAATGAGTAAAGTTGATTTTGGAGTTGTTTGATGGATATAGAATGCAGTTGGAGTTTTTCTAGTTTCTGATATGTGGTGTATTACTCTTTCATACATTTTGAACTCTGTGTTTGTTTTCGAAATAATAGGCCTTTTAACTGTTGTTCATGTAAAAGACTACCAGTGCCAATAGTAATTCATAAGCAAGCAATTCTATGATCGATCTTTTTTTTTCTTTAGGGAAGTTGTTTTCTTGATAGAGCTCAATAAATCAGGAATGGTAGGCTGCATCTTAGATTTCCAGGGAGTTTAAAACATAGAAATTGGAGAATTGCAATGAAATTTAGCTTAGAAATTGTACTGAGGAACTAAGGTGACAGCTATTGTAAGGTACTGTCCCATTCAGTTTTATGTAGACATTATTGTCTCCGATAGGGCAGGGGTATTATGCTTGAGCATATCTTTACAGTTTATGGTTTTATACTACTGAGCGACTCTTTATTAGCCAATGACTTTTGAGTTAGTTTTTACTTTTGTGTAGTTGAGTTTGAGACCGAATCTTTTAAGTTGGGTTTGCCACTTTTTTCCTTAATGTTTTAGTATTATTTTGAGTTGGTTGACCTTAACAGTTGCCTATGTACAAGCGTAATGGCATATTGCCAATGCTGAAGCGGAATTCAGCTGTCAAGCTCGCTCCTCAACGCTGGCAAGATAATGCACATGATGGTGCATTTGATGTGGTGTTTACATTTGAAGAAAAGGTCTTTGACATGGTTGTTGAAGGTAAGCTATTTGGATGCTCTCTAGGGACTGATAAAGCTCTTGTGGTTCCTGTCTAATTACACATTCAGATAATGGTATAAATGAAATAATTTGGAAGAAATCATAATGATCTCAATCTTCTTTGAACTTAATCAATTGTTCCTTTTTAATTTTTTATTTTATTTTTGTATTTTCTTTTATGTTTCCATATGAATTTTTTGTTTTGGATATTGCTCTAAGGAGGACTGATGTTTTCTTTGTTTGAGTTGCATGCAGGGGTGAAAGTTCGGTATTCGGTTTGGATTTTGAACCAAACCGAATCCAAACCGAATTAATTCGGTTTTGAAATTTTCAAACCGAATCCAAACCGAACTAGATTTGAAACCGATCCAATCCAAACCGAAATTTAAAAACCTAATTCGGTTCCAAACCGAAAATCGAACTTTTAAGGGGATTTTTCCAGATTGTCGAAGAAAAATATTTTTTAAAAAAAACAGTCAAATTTACAATGAATAGATCTAAAAAAATAATAATAATAAAAAGAAGTAATACACTAACACAACTATAATAATTTTATAAATTGTATTGATTACAAGACTAACATCTACAACTATAGATTATATAAAGGATAATTAAAAAAATCAAGGATAACCCAGAAAATTTATGGTGGTGGTGATTGATGAGCGACGATGAACACAAGCGGCGGACGAACACGAATAGCGGTGGAATAAGGTGACAAATCGTGACTGAAGGAGTGATGGAGGTGGTGACCGGGCTGAGGAAGGTGGTATCGTGGTGATAACAAACACCAGAACACAAGCTGCTTTTAGAAATCGTGACTAGATCAAGGGAGCACAAACACGAACTGTCGAACTGATGAAGGTGGTTGTGAGATACGTACTGAGGAAGGTAGTTGTCGGAGTTAGTGAGGAGGTGGCCGGAGTGAGTGAGGTGTTGAGAGAGGAATGGAGGATTAGGGTTTTGGTGAGGAATAGTGGAAGGCCGCAGAAATGAGAACTGAGAAGAGTGAAAGAAGGGAAGTAAAAAATTAGGGTTTTGCTTTATATATGTAGGGGATATCCGGATATATGGGCTGAGAATCTTTGGGCTTTAAAACTTCGGTTTGGATTTCGTTTTTCGGTTTTTGAAAGCCCCAAACCGAATCCAAACCGAAATATTTCGGTTTCAATTTTTGAAACCGATCCAAACCGAAAACCGAAAAAAACCAAACCGAATTTCTAATTCGGTTTGGTTTGGTTCTGTTTTCGGTTTTTGTCCATATCACTTTCACCCCTAGTTGCATGTGTATTACCTTAAATTGATCTCCATAAGAATTTATGGAGTTAGTGAGATGTTTAACATGAAATGATAACACTCTAGAAATGCCTCGTGATACTGTCAATTAACTTACTTGTACTATATTAAGCTCTACGTGATCTAGTATCATGGGCCATGATAGCTCAACCAATATAGATACTCCCTATCTGGTGGGGACTGACTTAACATTCTTTGTTTGAAAGATTTCAGATCATTTATACTTTTTCAGAAATTTGTATAACTGCGATGCCATTTAGGTATATCTCTATGTTTTTAGGAATGTGTGCTTTAAACAATTCTCTTCTCATGATGAAAACAATTATGTGTTTACTAGCTTGTAACTCCCTAAATCCACTTTAAGTATATTTTGTTGACGTCTATAAGCAAGATATGAGAACGGAAAACAGACTCTGTACTTCTGTAGCCATTTTGAGCTGAATAGAGCAATATATTTCAATCAGTTTCCATTCTTCCAGTTAACACAAATTTATTTCAGAATCATAGCAAATTTTGAATGAATAATGAAACTATTTTGCTTCATAACCAATTATCATAATTGCTATTCTTTAGTCGTATGGATGACCAAAATACTGAAGTTTGTCCATCAGGTTAGAGAGATCAATTGGTTATTTAATTTAACTTTTAACCTTTTAATAAAACCACCAGCCAGAATGATCTCTGTTTAAATGAGATCTAAGGAGGTCTATAAGACTTTAAGTAGGCAACTTACCCAAAAAATTCAAAAGCTATTAGAGAGGCTGTTGCTGAAACACCTGAAAGTATCCGGTGATACAAGAAGCTGAGAATTTTGTATCAAAGAGTAAAGCCATTGTCAACATTGGATATCCTAAACTGGCTTTTGATCAATTGCTTTTAGTTGGTTATGATATGATTATAAGAGATACAAAATGGCTTTCTTCTCCTTTTTTTTTTATAACCGTTGTAGTGTCTTTCATCACATATATTGGCTTTTTTTTTTGCTTTGCGATGATTTTCATTTACTACTTTTAAGTTTCAAGCTCTTGCCTACTTTGCATCAGTCAAGTCATGTTTGATTATACTCTAGTATTGAAATTGAGAAGAATTCATGAAGTAC